GGGGAATTGTCACGCTAATGCCTTTTGCCCTCTGAATACTTCTGGCACCAGACCAAGGGCCGTTGAAAGGCAGGACTGCGAGCAGAGCTTGCCAGTTGTTTAAGTGGTCTCTCTCGATCTGAATTAAAAGAATTAAAATTCTTGGTGGATTATAGGTTGTAGTCATGACAACAAATTCCCTCCTTTTCTCTGTTTTCTGGAATTGTCTTGTAGTTCAGATATGTTGCTAAATAAAACCCCTCAATTTTTTTCTTAATTAATGTTTCAGGTAATAACAACATCAAATTAAAAAGCAAAATAAATGGTCATCAGCATTTTGATGACTATATATGTTTTATGCCTGGTATCTTCTTGTGAAACTGGAAATCTCTTGACTGTGCAAGTCAATAAGGCTTTTGTTCAGTGGTATTAGAGGGAATTTTGCTAGCCTAAAAGAAGTGGGGATAATTACTAACAGGAGTTCTTGTGCAGCGTGTACCTGTAATAGTTAAATTTATTCTGACAATTGCAGATACAGCACTGGAGGAATCATTTGAATTATTCATTCTGCAACAAGGAAACATCCCACTTGTCTTCTCTTTAGAAATGAAATCCCAGTCTGATTTAAAATATACTTTTATGGGTTGGATTATTTTATTTTTTTTTTAAAGTAATTTTGCCATTTCAAGACTTCTATTATAATTACCTGTGAATGTAGGTTTTAAAAGAAAATTGTTCTGATTTCTAAAAGAAAGGAGAAATTGATTTTTTTTTACATGAACTGCTTCTTGTAGAATAAATTTAATGAAATTCAGCTTTCTTTCATAAATAATGCAGCACTTGCATTTGATTAGGTGAAGCCTAGAGGAATTTCTACCTAATCAGATGCATAGCAAGAAGGATATTGCCTGCAGACTTTTACCATTATCAATGGTGGTGGCAAGGAAAATACAGCTCCGTGTGTGTCCAGCTAGAAAGCTTTGTTTCTTAAGAGAAGTTGCAAAACAAGGTATATATGTTCCAACAACCGACTTCTTGTGTCTCAGAGTGTCCTGACTATTTGTAAAACACGGTCTGGCTTCTGAGTATTGCCGTTATTGCGGCATGAAGAGACTCCAGGTTAACTGGAGACCTCCTTGTCCTGGGAATGTGTTCCTGGCCCTTCCAATGAATTTTTTTTTTGTAGGGAAGAGGCAATCTTTGTATCAGAGAGCTTACGGTCAAAATAAACAAAGTAGGCATCCGGAATCATTGGGACCAATTCCAAAAGTCTCAAAAAACAGCACAAACCTCCCCATAACATAAAAATGGAAAAAAAAAGAAAAAAGTACATGTGCCTCCATTCATTAAAACGATAGATCCCATACAGCAAAACCAAACCAGTTTGCAAATGGTGTATCTGCAAGTTTTGCAGAAACATTTTGAGAGTTCTTGAGTAAATGCTGCTTTAATTACTTACCTGTGGTCAAGTTTTATGCTGTTCTGTAAATCCAGCCACAAAACTTTGTTCTACTCTGGTTTTATCCCCAGGAAGCTGTTATTAACAGCAGTGGGTGCACCTGAACAGAGGGTCGTTTGAATAAGGCCATTAGTCCTTTAGTGAAGGTCCACATTAATAAATAAAAAAGGGCTGGTCCCATTCTCTAGCCCTGAGGCCAATTGGCATAATTTGACCTGCACGTATTTAGTAAGTGTTTGTATCCTCTGAGAGACAGTGGCCAAGCCCAAGCTGGCTTTTGGGACCAAACCCTGGTCTGGCTCAGCCCTGGACCGCTCCTGGGAACTATTTGAGAGTGATGTGAAACTGTTAGGAACCATGTTAACAGTATAATAGCGTGGATGGTCATGGGCTCAGGCTCTGGCTCTGGTTACTTTACTAGAGGTGATGCTCTCTTAGGGCTTGGTTATGCTCTCTGCTGAACTCGTTTGAGTGGCATCTTGCTCTACTGCCGTAATAAAGTAATATTCCAAATAAAACTGTAAAGAACTGAACCCTAATGGCAAAGCCCAACACCACTGCCTTATCTCACTGTGCTCAGATTTTTCTCGCAACATTTGTTCAGCTATGTAAAATTGCACATGTCGGAAGTTCTTCAGGCCAGATGCTAAGCGGGTTTAAGCTGACAATTTGTGCTAGCTGGGGCTCTGGTTTTTCACTTATATTTCTTGGAAAGGGCAATGAGATGCAATGAATAAATGTAAAACACAAGAAATAGAGCCCAGGATACATGGGAGACGTGCTTGCATCCTGTGATTTGTTGTTGAGAGGTTTTAGCACTGAGCTCAGAAGTGTATTTCTGGAGCTGCTGGTCAGAACTGTGCAATTTAAAGGTGAAATCAGTTCTCCTTTTTAATCTTGAGTTTTCATTCCTCTCCAAATTGGTGCAAGCAAATCTCCTGGGCCTAAAATGTCATGGGAGCACTAGAGGCCAAGAACAGAATTAATTTCTGAAAGTTTGAGAGCAAAACCATCAGGTTTAGGGCTGTAAAATGTTAATCTGTTTCTGACTTTCCCAAGAATTGTCTGAAATATTTTTGCCCACTCATAACTCACTGACTTACGTCAGATACTAGAGCTGTTTTTATGTGTGAGTACTGACAGAAGCAGTGCACGGCTTTTATCACAGCCAACGGGAAAAAAACCCCTCAAAAATATAACTCCCAGACCTTTTTCTTGTCCAAAACAATGTCAAAATCCCATGGAAGAAATGGGAAACAAGGCTGAGCCATTGGTCGTTTGCCCTAAGGGTGGATAGGGCGTTCTTCACTCGAAATCCTGGTGAAGGTATCACACAGACCTGCGTCCCAAGTGCTGAAGAGCGAGCAAGCTTGATCCTTTCCATTGCTCCTCTGCTGTTGCTGCGGACAGCATTTCTCCCAGCCTGCTTCAGCTGGGGAAGCTTAGCTTTGGTGACCAGTGGATTTTAGGGCCAAAGTCAAGACTCAACACTACACCCTCATTGCTGTCTTGTCCTTTGCTGATGCTTCTCCAAGCACAGGCAGCCTCTCACATCCCGAAACGCGTCAGGCTCACTGGGTAGCTTCAGTGACAGCAAGTGATACTATTTCTATGCCAACTACAGTCTTGCTGTGAATTTCCTACTCTTTGCTCCTCTGCAACAAGATCAATTAGTGAACTCTTCAAAAACCACTTGAGCAGCGAATGCAGGTAGCGTGGCTGAATGGAGACACTGGGCAATGCAGCTGAGGGCTTGCAGAAGGAGAAGTGGTTACCTCTGAGAGATGGGATGTTTATTTGTATAAGAGGGATGTTGAAAGTCGTTAGTTACTACGAGTGGTGGTCGCTACATTTATCTATTGTCATTAGAATAGGCTAAGTTTTAAAAAACATAGCGGCTGCATCCTTGGATGATCTCTCCTCAACTCTGTGGCTTTGCAATCCTTGTCTGCTAGGCTTGGGGTTGGGTGAAAAAGACTTTAGGCTCTTCCCTGACTTAGTTGTAGGAAGCATCCTCAGTTTGTTACCGCTGCATGTCCATTTCTCCTGGAGTTCCCTTGTGCGTTCCCAGCTTCACCCCCAAGTAAGACCTTGCCAAAATCACTTATATGCTGTGCAGTGAAAATGTGACTGATACAAATGTTGCAGCAGTGTATAAAATGCTAAATTATTCATGGTACTTAAGTACAGAAAATCCCAGGGCTGAACTGACATAATGAAAAACTCCAGGCAAAAAAAAAAAAACCCCACCATGGAAAGTCTTAGATTAAAAATAGTTGCAAACTTTAGAATCAGACCATATTATAGAGTCTTAATCCCTTCTTCCTTTAAATGCCCCTCCTCATGCTATACCCTGGGCTGTCATAGCCAACTACTTTTAATGCCATTATCCACATCATTTTCCCATGAACAGGGACCTAAGGCAAAGAAATGTCAGATGACTTGTCCTCATCCGAAATAGAAAATTTCGCTGAGTGGCAGCGGGATTTGCGACTATGTCTTCTCAAACCAGAGCCCTGACCATCTTAACCCGTTTCCTGCCTATCACGAATGAAGTGATCATCTGGAGGAGTTCACTGGGCAAGCACCTGTGCACCATTTCATACCAGAGCATCAGACCTTCTCACACAGCTGGTCTCCCAGCTTGCCTGGGACCTCTGTGGGCTACAGATATATTTATTCATCATAATGAACCTCAGTTTTCACCTATCTATAACACCAAGGGTCCTGGGTGCTAAATCTTGCCCTGGATCACTTTCACCTCTGGAATTTTCTAGTGAAAGACCTACAAACCAAAATATTAATGTAGGAGCACAACTTTGAGAATTTAAGCAGCTGAATGGACCACGATGTGCTGCTTAATTCATGGACAATTTTAACAGAGATGTAGTGGGCCCAATTTCTAGTGTTATAATTGAAACAGGTAGATGTAAAGATCAACAGATCAGTTAAAAGAAGTGAACCAAGTGGTTAAAAACTACAACTAGAAGCTTAGGGGATTCATACTGTTAAGCAGTCTCTTTCCAGATTTTTTTAATCTTTTTTCTTGGTCCTGAAAACATCATTCAACAACTGATTTCAAGTTTCCTTTTGCACTTTATTATCACTTTTATTGTGGAAAATGGATTTAAAAAAAAAGAAGAAAAACAAAACATCAATTTAATCACTGTTGTGTTGGTTTCTGTATATGTCAAAACATATTTCCATTGGAAACATATTTTTGACAAAGCAGTTCTTGCTTGTTTGAAAAACATTTTGAATAAAAATGTTCAAGCAGCTTTAGTCGCTTTGCCTTTTGCTTGGAGGGTAAAATAGGCTTTCAAAGCTGTTCAGTGTTCCCTTTTGCCCTGGAGACATCCAGGAACTGTAGGAGAAGATCTGATTTGCAATCTCTTTGGGAGTTGAAAAGGTTCCTCAGGATCCCATCAGGACCTGCAGCAAATGAAGGGAAAAGTGTTTCCTGGCTGACATCCTCCCCTTTTCTGAGTGCTGAACAGCACTGGTGGCAGCATTGTGACCTCAGCTTTATTTGTCAATTAACTCGATTTTTCATTTTTCCTAGATTGTACCCTCGTCACGCAAGTGCTCTCAACAACTTGGGGACATTGACCAAAGACGTGGTGGAGGCAAAGGACTACTACAGACGGGCCCTTCAGTTAAACCCTCAGCACAATCGAGCTCTCTTCAATCTCGGCAACCTTCTCAAGTAAGTGGAACGCAGAACTGGCACCAAGGAAATCCACGTTCTCTCCGCACACATCACCAAAGTAGTTTTTCTGCCAACTGGTGAAGGAATGGCATTATTTCTTACTGCCAGCTAAGTGTGCCAGCACAAAGGGGAGGCTTGGTCTGCATATCCTTATGCCGTCTGCCACATCACTTCAGGTGCTGCTTACAATTGTGTTTCAGCTGGAGGGAATTCACTTGTTCCAAATCAGGCATCAAAAAATGAGGTGCTTAAACCCAACTAGTCACCTGAGTCTCCCGTCTCAATGGAGAGGTGTAAGCCTTTCCAGTGGAGCAAGCCGTGTTGTTCAAAGGCAGGCGTCTGATGCAGATCTAATAAATAACACGGATCCAACAAATCCCTCTCTGCAAGTTCCCACTTCTCCTCATTAGCTGTATGGAAGGTCGGTGTGTAGTTTGGGCATTAACACCTAACTCCGAGATGCTCAGAGCAGCAGAAGGTTCATCCCATTGCGGAGGGGGTGGGTCTGGATTTGAGGGGAAGGCTGGTTTACAGCCCTATACGGTTAGTCTGCTCAGCAAGAAAACAAGTTAATCAGCTCATAATTTCACTCATTGTTATTTAGAGTGTCAGCCTTTAGCAAGGAGAATAGCAGACGATCATAATCATGCAAATTAATTTGACTAATATCTGACTGATATCTAAAGACTGAACTTAGATCTACACAAAAAGCTTTGCCAGTGTGATAAGATCTGCTAGGGGTGCAATTAAAAAAAGTAAAATATCTCTATTCCTGCATTACGATTTTGCACCAGCAAAAAATCGCCCGTGTTTTGTTATTATAGTGTGTTAATTTCTGACAGAACTGCATGAACTACAGCAGTAAAAATACATTTCTGCTGATGTAAACTGCACCTATTTTTCTCGTAGTAGGTCTCTGGTAAATCTTTTAGAGCAGATCAGGCTTTAATGTTGGGCTGGTTATAAAGTGGCACTGTCTCATCAAAAGATACTCGATCTCTCTGGTTCTGAAAGTTACTTTGAGTGTGAATTTATCTGACAGTTATTAAGTGGATTGCTGAAGTTCTGCCTGGTCCCTTTGGTAGCGGAGAAGTTATCAGAGTAATATTACAAGTAAACCTGATGGTTTGGGGTTGGAATATGGCACCTGAGTACTTCTTAAATAGAAAGCAGGTGAGAGCTTTACTGGAAATACTCACAAGAAAGGAAAATGGTAAAGACAGTCTTATTGCAAGAGAAATGGAAGGTCTTTGTATTATTCATCAGATTTGGTTGATTGAAATTAATCTTAGGTGGCAATGCTGTTTAAAAATACATATTGTCCTTTTAATCCATCATGTTTGCCTTAGTTACTATTCTCTGTGATTTTTGTAAAAAATATAAAATATTAATACAAAAAGACGTAAGCCAGAAGCAGCATGAGGACACCCCATGTCAATAATGCTTAAATCTGGCCTGTTGATGGGCTCTTATGACCCAGCAGATGGGTAGAAACTGGATTTGTTGCACTGGCAAAGCACAAAGGAGACATGTGGGAAGATCTCTTAGAACTGCTGTTTGTTTTGTGTGCAGTATGTCACGTTTTTCCTAATTTGATAGTTAAGATATTGTGTGTCCGGTTGGATTGTATGTGCTCTGCATCCTTCTGTAATGCCAAATATTGCAGTATGTTAAAGGTGTGTGATGCTCGTGCTAAACTCATTAAAAGAAAGTGCTCAGGTTCCACCTGCCCTTTTCCCACAACCATTTGCAAAATTTTTCTAGGCTTCCAAAACAACTTATTGCATCTCGACACACCAGTAGCATTAATTATAATGGAAACTGGGTGTCCTCGTCTCCCTATTCAGCTTTAAAAAAACCCGCTCAAAAATAGGTAGAGTTCATGGTGGAGGGATTAGCACATATGCAAAGCAGATCCTTTATGAATGTCTCCCCTAAAACACTAGCCCAAATCCCTTTGCCAGGACCTTTCCTGGATCATCCATCAACTTTGCAGAGATCATCAGCCATGCTAGAGCGTGAGGTGACTTGTGAGAAGACCAGATGGGAACGAGGTAGAGATTTCAAGCTCTTCCTTCCTACAACTTTGTGTTTTCTACTTGGGTCTTCAAATTACCCTTTCATATATATGTATATAGGGCAACCAGTGTTCTGCTGACAGTAAATGCTAGTATAATCTAGGTAATAAATGAATATCTGCAGAATATTGCAGGCAGATATTACTTTCTGGCTGTGCTATGAGACATTATGAAGGATGTTTTGATTTTTAAACATATGGCAGAGAGACGATAAATGGTCAAGACATAAAAGCGTTTTCTGTCCTCTTTACAGAGGCTTCAGTGCATGGTGCAGATCAGGAGGAGCCAGATCTGCAACACTTAAGGCACGTCCAGTAAGAGCAATACTCGCACTGGGACACATAACGAAACCATCTGGCATGGGGAATTCCCAGTTGAATTCTCCTGAGTTCCTTATACCCACCGCTGCTTGTAGCGTGGAAATCTGATGGCAGGTATCAGATTTCACCTCCTCTGGAGTGCTGAGAAAGGGGAGCTCCAGGATTTTGGAAGGATGGGTTTGCTATTCCCATGTGGGAATCTGCCTCTTGTTATTCCCTGTAAATAAGCTCTCTATTCAGGCATCCATCGCTTGTGATTTAAGCTTGAGTAAAAATCTGTTCTGAGGAACACAGGGTGGAATTTTTAGGGTTTTTTTCCTGCGGAAGTCCTAGATGAAAAAGGACGTTTCCATTTTCTGTTTGCATATAATGAAGACAGCTATGTGCCAGAAGATGAATGTTCTCAGGAAGCATTGCAGGGTAATGGCTGAATAAGCCTTTGGTTTTGTTTACATATCCTAAAATAAAGTTGTATGTCATCATTTTCTTGCCTAATATAAGTATTAGAGAATAGATAATTAAACAATGCCGACAGATTTCTTATTTAAAATAGACCCAAAAGATGGCCTACCTAAAAGTGAGAAATCTCTTTCTCTGCTTTTGTGGTCCATGAGCAGTGACACAGAGCAGCCGATGCTGCTTTCTTGTGTTTTGTTTTGAAGTTTCCCATTATATAAATATTTAACTCCTCTATGTAGATTCGTTTTTATTGAGCTACAGCTTGAAAAACTGAGATAAATATGTATCATTCAGACTACCTCGCAAATTTATAGCCTGTGCGATATTCTGTAAAGAGACAAGAAATAAAATATTATGAACATTTGAAGTAAATATTTATCTCAGCTTTCTGGTGCAGGAAGAATGGGAGAGAACTTCTTTATTTGCTGTACTGCATCCATACCTAGAGAAATCCAATATTCAGTACACTATTTCTTATGAAGAAAAGCCTCATAACTCTTAGGTGCTTTGAGAGCGTTACGGCTGCATTTTCCAGGGGAAAATGAAATGCCTAGAAACAATGTCCTCTGAAATCTTGAGTTCATTCAAAGAACTGATTCTCATCTGAATGTAGAGTAACACACACGGTATCCTCTGTGTTTGTTGCCGTGATTTAGTCCAAGTTTAGCAAATGCATCTAATCAGAGGAAAAAGGGCTGTCTGCCCTCTCTGATACAGGCTTCTGGGTACGTACATATTGTATGAATGTGCTGACACAGGCTTGTGTAACTGTCTGAAGATGCTGAAAAACATCAGATAGATACTAAGTGCATTGAGATTTAAGATCTTTTAGAAGGTGAAACATTCCTCCCTTCCATTCAAAGAAACAACTGAGCGATAACATTCCGTGATACTGCGTCTGGCTTTCTGGATGGTCTCTGGTTAGGGTACTCTGTGTGGCATGAAGTGCTGAAGTTGTACATCAACATCACATACATATTTTAGCCTGTTTATAGAAAAAAATCAACTCTAGCAGTGTCAAGTTTACAATAGATTCAAAGAATAACTTATGTTGGAACGGACCTCTGGAGATATTTGGTCAAGCCCACTGCTCAAAGCAAGACTAATCGAATCAGGTTGCTCAGGGCAGTTTCCAGCCAAATCTTGAACACTTCCAAGGACAGAGTAGCTACAATCTCTCTGAGCAACCCGTTTCAGTCTTTGACCACCCTTGTGGTGAAAAATATTTCTCCTTGTATCTAATCAGAATTTCCCATTTTCCTACTCATGTCCATTGCCTCTCGTCCTGTCACCGTGCACCTCTGAGAAGAGTCTGGCTCTGGCTTCTCTGTACCCTCCAACCAGGTGGCTGCAGACAACAGCGAAGTCATCCCTGACTGCAGGCTGCACAGACTCGGCGCGTTCAGCTTCTCCTCATGTGATGGATGCTCTAGCTCTGACCTTCTTAGTGGCCCTCTGTTGGGCTTCCTCCAGTATGTCCACACCTTTCTTGCACTGGGGAGCCCAACACTGGACAGACGTGATTCCAGATATGGTCTTAAAAGTATCATATAAAAGGGGGAGGGATCACTTCCCTGGACCCACTGTTGGCCGCCTTTGCCATGTAGGGTACATTGCTGGCCCATGGTCAAATTATCGTCCACCAGGACCACCAGGACCTTTTCTACAGAGCTGCTTTCCAGATGGTCATCACCCAACCTGTGTTTGTGCACCAGGTTATCCCATTCCAGGCACAGGACTTGCATTTGCTTTTGTTGAACTTCAAAAGGTTCCCGTCAGACCTGATCCATCCGAAAAGCAGCTCTGCCTTGCAGCGTATTGCCTGCACCTCCATTTTTGTATCATCCACGTAATACAGATGAGTGGCAAAGGAATGCATCTAAATTATGTGAATCAGTTTTAACCCAGGGAGTCGGAACAGGCCTAGAGGTTTCCTTTCAGACAGAGTTAGACACTGCAACTTCCCTTTGGATTATGGTGTGAAACCAAGATGAGATGTTCAGAACAGTTGTGGAGCCCTTGTTGAGTTCTGTGTTTCTGGCTTTAATGCAGTCAAACTAACTTCACAAAATAAATCTTCAAAGTTAAAAAATCCTCTAATTCCTAGGTTACTCTTTCTGTTGCGAACTAAATTTGCGCCAGTGCTGACAGCCCACACGCAGCCCTGTGCATGGCCAGACTTCTGCGGGGGGCGGTTTAAGCTGATGCTTCTCCAACTCCAGGGCACTTGCAAAAATGCGCAAGAGATGCTGCCAGTGGAAAGAACTGTTCCTTGCTCTTGGTTCTACGCTGATCGTAGAGGGGAGGCTAGGGATTCAGGTGGAAGACGGAATCAGGAGAGGGCATTGTAAGGCAAGGTAATTTGGAGAAAAATTGGATTAAGTGATCATAGACTCCTCGTGTCAGTTGAATTTGTTCCTCTCTCTGTCATAGCAAAAGTATACATTACCTAGCTTTTCCTGCTCCAATCCCCAATTTATGGTAAATTAGTGTATCGGACTGTTCTTCCAAAGCTCTGCGCTCACCCAAATTGCATGAGATTTGTATAAGCGACAGCCTCGATCCTGCAAAGCATTGGCCTTGATCCAGGAAAGCACTTCAGCCAGTAATTAATTTTCAACTTGCATACATAAAAGTTAAGTACGCGTTTAAGTGCTTGGCCAGAGCGCTTGGTATCTTGCAGGCCTGAGCCCTCTGAGAAACTACTGGATCTGCTTTTGTTAATGTAATTCAGTCTGTCACATAAAAAGATGCCATAATCTTTCCCTCTCTACCCCCACTTTCAGGAGACAAACATTGTTCTTGGATCAAATGAAAAGGGGAAAAAAAAAAAGGTCATTTTTGAAAAAAAAAAAGAGTAATTAAGAGGGCTGCCCTGTGTTCTGAGTGCATGCCTGTGGTTAATGGGAACTTTTACTGCTGCTGAGTGGATCACTTAATCCTTTTATTTCTGTAGCTGGCATTTCCTACATTTTTTTGCCAAACATCAATACCTTTATAAAACAGTCATCTGTTTTTGATTTATAAAAATGTGTCATGAAACTCCAGCCGAGGGATCCAAAAGTTTTATAAATTGACAAGCTAGCTAGTCTTTAATTAGTGTAGGAGGAAAGTGGTTCTTTATTTGTTTTTGCTTCATTCTTGTAATTTATATGGAACACCACTCGAAGAAGAAAAAGACTAGCACAACTGGTTTTACTTAGCTTAATGCACAGGCAAAATATTCTTCCAGTTACACAACTAGAAAGGGAAAAAAATCTGCAAAGCCACATATATTATCAGCTGAAATTTGCACCTTATAAACAAGATCTGGTTACTTGACCATGTCACTCAGATGAAATCTAAGGCCAAAGCGGCAAGGTGTTCACATATTTTCTATGTCCCAGAGCCCTTTGTTTCTTTTTGTAAGCCCTGCTATTCATATTCTTTGTATACCCAACACAAGGAAAATGTTGTTCTAGTCCAGCTAAACATCCTTAGATGTTTGTTCAGGAAACCGTCTCATTTTTCCAAGGAAAGAAATACAAAATGACACTGGAGAAATTGTAGCTAAAATAAATAAACATCCTTACGCTGTTGTTCAGGAAATCTTTTCTGCTTTCCATGGCAATAGATGCAGAGTAATGCTGGGAAGAAACCCTAGCTCATCAGCATTGCCATCTCTCAACTATCTCTTCGTAATCATTAGGATCTGAAGAACAGACTCCTCTAGCCTAATGATCGACTTGCTAAGGAATTATTTAGAGATCCCAGGCAGATTTAACTTAGCAATATTTTAACTTCAAAGTATTAATTTAACTAAGTCATAAGTGGATATATAACAGCCCTCATTGTCTAGGAACATGCAAAGACTCCAGGATTTTTTTAGGAAATGCAAATATTTTGGTGTCTGCAGCCTACCTACGTCAGGGTTGCTGGCAAATGTCCTGTTCCCAGGTCACTTGGTGCCTCGGTGACATGACTGGGGCCAGACCTCCAGAAGCTGACTGCAAACCCAGTGTTATCCCGACAGCACCCCTTCCCGTAGGGCGTGCGACTTCCCAAGAACATCACTGGGAGGATCTTGGGCAGTATTTCATGCCTGGAGATGCTTTTCCTGACTTGTTCTTCATGTATCTTCAACTTCTGGTGGGATAAATGGGACGGAATTTGATGTATTTGCCATAAAGAGAAGTATTGGGAGATATACAGTAGGACTGGAGAAGTTTAAAAAATCTAGTGGTTATTACTCAGCAGATAGAGCATGTGGCCTGTACTGATTGCCTGATAGCCAAAATAAAATACTTTTTGCTCTTCAGTGTGTGGGGCTGAGGAATGCACTATTTTGAGGATGTTTTGTCTTCACTGGGATCATTGCATAATGCTCAGTATGACAGTCACCAGAATAGCAGACCAAACAGCAGATTCATTAAAGCCTATGTCCTCCCAGCTCCTGAGAACAACATATGGAAACAGCAGTGGGCTGAGGAGATGCTGGGTACGCACAACACAGAGAGAAGGTGCTAGTGAATCATTTAGTCTTTGCTGAAAAGGTCAAGCTGCGGACTTTCACGAATTTTTAGAGTAGTTAAATCAGTGGGATGACCTAAACATGTGCTTACAGGAACTTTTCTTTTTTTCCCTCCTTCCCTTGCTGCAGGTCCCAAGGGAAGAAGGAAGAAGCTGTAATCTTACTGCAGGACTCCATTAAGTACGGCCCAGAGTTTGCAGATGCTTACTCAAGCTTGGCCTCACTGCTAGCCGAACAGGTAACGGGCAATTGCTCGAGCTCTCGTGCCTTCTGCATGTGGATGCACTGCTGGGGCAGCTGCAATGCCTCCTGTGCATCGCAGTTCTTGGGAGCACCCTTGCCTCGCACACGTGCAGTGGCAGGCGTGGGTCTGCAGCTGTCTGCAGAGAGCTCTTGGGCTGCTTTAGAGATGACTTTTTCAGGATAGGAGGCAACTCATTCGCAGTGAGTAATTACACCCACATGAGGTGGCTCCGAATTAAATTACTGTTGAAGTTGTGAGTAAATATCCTCTCTGCAGCTCCCCACGTCTATGGTGAAGCCTTAATCCATCGCACCTTGAATGTTGTGACAGCAGAGTAGGCGAGTACTTCCCCCTCAGACATGCACACCTACGTAGATAACCTTGAGATTTCATAATAAATCACTCCAAAGGTAGGAAATGTGAGAAACCAGGTGGCCTCTGCAGCCTGAATTCTGCCCCTTGCATGCGCGCATCAGGATATGGCCCTTAATTACCATGGTAGATGATCATGTACGAGGAGTGGGAAGGCTCGGTAGCTTTATGTTGCTCTTAATGAGCAGCTGTTCAATATTTTATTTAACCTTGCTGTTCAAAATGTATCCCCAGGCTTTATTTACTGCGCATGGCCCAGGCTGCGCTCTGGAGGCAGGATTATTCATTTCCTCTCGGGCTTGTTCCTCAAGCTCATTACTCAGGGCTCTCCCTACTCTCTGTAGTTAGGTAATTTATTCAATTATTAGTGAGGTGAAATATTGTCCCCATGGAGGAAAAGGGAATTTGAGGCACAAAATGCCTAAGATCAGAAGCAGCCCTGAAGCGTGGGTGCCCACATCAAGATCGCCAAGCCCTGCTTTTCTCCATGCCCGCAGCAGCAGATGAGGGATGCTGTGCTTCAGGCTTTGCTCCCACAGACTGCGGCCACAACCAGTGGCCCCAGCCTACAAGGGTTGGTGGCGAGGTCCTCGTAACTGCACAGCTCCAACCTTCTGAAAACTGATTTTTTTCTCCCCAGAGTTTCATATCTAACTGTTCCATAGCACGGAGCGCTAAAGGTTTCTTAAAAGGTTGCCAAATGCAAATACAGACAAAGCAAAGGAGTATCATCTTTCACTGTTTTCCATTAATCTGGTTAGTGAAATCTTCTCTCTGTAAGGGAAGTGGATAAATTTCAGCAAAATTAGAATCAAAGGTCTTGTTCTGGTTTAGGCTTCTTTAATGATGCAGGCACTCTGCAAAATTCATCTATGATATATATGGGTTACTGAAAGATGTGCTATGTTATTTTCCCTTTTATATGACTTTAAAATATTTTAATATTATCAATATCAGCTGCAGACACCTAGAAATATAGTGTATGAATTGAAAGAAGAACCTTATTGAATGGGAACTGTGTTTTGAATAAGCCTATCAGTGAAGGGTCTCCTGCAGGTATGGGAAATGAGTCCTCCGCAATAATACCTGGTTTTAATATTAATTGAAATTATTAATTAGAACCATCGATTGTAAGGTCAACAGAGCAATAAAACCATTACAGAGTCCCCAGGCCTTCTGCCCAAGGCAAATGCCATTAGTAAGTCCAGCAATAATTTATCTACTTTCACATATAGATTGTTCATCCTCTTGGACTTGAGTAAGTGGTAGGAAAAAAAGATAGTTAAATATAATTTCCTCAGAACATAGCGATTTCCTGCAGGCTTTTAACACCTTCTCATGTTCAGCCACAGCAGATGACTACCTGGTTGTGCAACTCCTGCCTTGCACACTCATCCTAGTGACCGCAGCAGGGGCTGTCCTACAAATACATGCTGCTGCTGCCTGTGGCTAGGGGCTGCAGAATCACACCCTAACGCTGTGCGCTATTGGAGGGGTACGGGCAGAAGTTTTGGCATCTTCAGCCCAAAGGATGATGAAGGGACCTCATCTTTCAGTTTGGGGTTTCCTCTTTGTCCAAGTAATAGCGTGCAAAATGGCTAAAAGTTACAAACCTGTTTTTCTGTCTGTCTATGGCCCAGAGTCTGTCTCACCACTGTAGGGGTATCTGCGATGCCAGGCAGTGGGCTGCGTGGACAGCGGCACTGTGGGGCTTTGGGGAAGGGAGCACAAACTGGTTCCCTCTTGCTGGGATGTGATAGAAAGGGGCTGAAGTGCCGCAAGTGGCACATTAAAGTAACTCTCATGAGGTGACCGTAACAAACTGCTGCTCCTCCAGCTTTGCACTAAGGCTAAGAAGGACTGGAGGCGGATCAGTGAAATAGTGCTGGGATTCCCTTGGTCGGTCCTGCACAGTGTGTTCCCCCTCATCTTAAAGACGATGCATCCGAAATGGGGCTTATGGGTCCTTTCCTCCCACAACTGTAAAAAATGCTACTGAGAGGAATGTCTCATGCACCAAGGAATTAGCCTGTAACTCGATGTAATTGCCCTTTTCTCTCCTGGATAGTTGACTCTGAAGCCAGAGCTGACATGGGAAAAAACCCCACCACATTGTGTAAAACAGTTCAGCTTGCTTGTGCCTTTTATACATGCACACCCTTCTTACCACTCTTTCTGCTTGATATCGTAACTCAGTCACAATGTATTATTGTTTTCCATGATCACTGTGCGGATACCAATATGGGAAATCAAACGTGTTTTTTGCCTTTTCCATACTACTCCTGTACCGCTGCTTCCCCAGGGTTAACTCTGATGCACTTCAACAGCATGTTCTTCCCATCTCTTGCAGTTTTGTCAGCCATCTTGTGCTGCTTGGTGCCTCTTTTCAAGCCCTAGTTTCTGGATTCAAGTGATTTTGTGTGTGTGTGTAATAGTATCAGCCTACACTAAGAAAAAGAAACTTTTTAAGCCCCTTAGTTGCAGAGAAGAGTCTACTCAGGCATAACCAGACTGAGAAACTGAGCCATAAAAAAACAGACTTTAAAACCCTGGAGTTCAACTTAGAGATCCTTGCATGCATAATTTTTTTAATATCATAAAAATCTCATACATTTTTTAAGCCAATCTTCTGAATTTTGTGAGCTTGATGAATGTTTCATGAAGATCTGGGAGTGGCATTATTAAGCGTTAATGAGAACTTGATGAACTTACAGCATTTCTCCCAAGAAGAGGAGAGGCTGTGAGGGAGGAAGCTCTGGCACAAAAAGCTGGGCTTGCCCTTCCCAATTTCTGATGGCGCTTAATGCAAACACTTCGTTAGAGGAATCATCCCAGACTCTCCGCTGAGCCTGAGCCATGCAGGGTCGGGATGTTAGGTGCCAAAAAGACCATGCAACCATGACAAAAATGCTAAAACTGCTCAATATTGGTGAGCATGAATGTTTTGACGTGGGATGCCGTTAATCCAGTTTAACACAGCCCTTCCTTACTTTAAAGATCAGGTTTGTGATCAGTAAATAAAATGCAGAAAACTGACATATGTGCACACAAAGCCACATTCCTTGGCAGAAAATTAAAATCAGAGGAAAAGAAGCTAATACAGAAATCTTTGAAAATATACTTATTAATGTCTTGGTGACAGATGCTTTCTCAAAAAATTGCTTTTCATTTTAGTCAATTCTGATGATTGCTACACTTTTTCTGACCCCTCAGGATAATGATGTCAATTCACATAAATATATACAAAATGTCCAAACTTAAGCACTTTTTAAAAATGCATTCCTGTGTTTTATCACACATGATCTTTTCTGCTGGCTGACCTTTATCGTGTAAATGTGAAAGCACTTAACCATGGAAAACCGTGTGTTTTCATCAAGTCATAGTCTTCCAATGCGATTAATTCCAGCTCTCCAGCTCTGAAATAGGAGGTGAGAACGGAGTCCACATATTTAAGCAGCTACAGAGCAAAAGCTGCCATCGGGTACACCCTTTAAATCCAGAGGAAGCCCCGTAGCTCCAGGATTTGCAGGACTTGAGGAGAGTCCACAGCTGGGAGTGGACCCACCTCTCATTGCAGTGTGGATTCAGCTCCCGAGCAGGAGGTCTGTCTACCATGGTGGCTCCAGGCCTTCCTCAGCAGAGACCCAGGCAGCTGATTTCACTTGGGAGCATGGTCAGGAGGCCGTGGGGTTTGTTGCCGTAGGGCTGCGCCGCTCCACAGAAGGGGAAGAGTTGGAAAAAGCGTCTTTGGTGCTGGAGGCTTGCCTGACACCCCTCTGCACCGTCCTTGTGCGTGCTGTGCGCAGCCTCCTCCCCTAAATACACCCAACAACAAGGCTCTGAGGTTAGGGAGGGGAGGAAGCTGGCAAGCGTGCAGGCACTGGGCGCGTACTGGCTGGCTGGAGGGAAATGGAAACCTTATTAAGTTGCCATGTGATCCAAATGAGACGCCTTATTTGCATTTCAGGACCAGGCTGCCAGTAGCTCAGGCTAGACCGAGCCCAGCCAGTGGGATACTTTCCGTAGGCAGGGTGATCCTAAAAGATCTGTATTTTCCAGAAATGCTTAGCACCAGCAAACCTCCATGAAATCTATGCAAAATGCAAGGGCTCAGCGCATCTGGGAATCAGCGCGGTGGCATGTCCCATCAATCCCAGTGAGCTGCCTCTCACGCATTGACGATGCCTGGTTTTAATCTGAAACTGTCAGATTTCCCCACCTCTTTCCCCATCCTCCTCCAGCTTCCCACATCCCCCTGCATGAGCTCCCTGTCCCCCAGCTGTCACACACGCCAAGCTTTCATGCCTTGTATTTTCCCTGCAGCTAAGGGGACAAACAGCAGAGCTCCGGAGGGGAAAAGTTAGCCAGTGAGATGCTCATTAAACAAATAAATTAAAATATATCAGCTCCCAGATGACAGATATTTCTTAGCAGAACCAACACAACCCCCATCGCTGTGCGTTTCCCAGTTGGGTGCGTGCCCAGCTGGGGCTTGCTGATTGCACAGGAGCCACCTTTTCCAGCTGTTATTTTTGTTTCACAGGTAGCTCCAATTGCAAATGTATGGGGGAAATCTGAATTGCTCTGGGGTACCAGACAGCAGCTATATCGCATCTAAGCCATGGGGTAAAATTGTGGACTCCTAGAAGGTGGGGTGTGCTGGCACCCCAAGCTCCCCATGCAGCAAGGGAGTTGTCACAACATGCAGGTGTGTGGCAATGGTGCTGACACCCTTTCTGTCATGGCTAAGAAATCTCCTTCTCTTTTAAGGAACGGCTTAAGGAAGCAGAGGAGGTCTATAAGACTGGTATAGAGAATTGTCCAGAGAGCTCCGATCTGCATAATAACTACGGTGTTTTCTTGGTTGATACTGGTAAGTGAGAAAGGGCAAGGGATTTTCCCTCTCTGCCTTATTCGCTTTGATTTGTTTTATGCAGCAGTACACTCTAAAAGGGTGTCAAAAGCTTCCAAAGCAATGGATGCGTCTCCACTGTAGCTTGGAAATAAATATCCCCATGCTGCTGAGATGGCACAGCATACTGAAATTTGTAATCAATGCAGGCACTGTGCGGCAGTGGCATTCAGCCCGGCTGTTTCCTTCAGTGTTTCTCAGCATCTTCGCGCAGGCAGTTGTCCTCTTCAATTTGAGCTGGGCAGCACCCTGACAATACTGCCATTTCTCCAGGAAAGCATGGCCACATCAAACCAAATCCCAGGCACACAAGTGGATCATTAGGGTCTTTGGAGCACTTGCAGCTCTACTTGGTGACAAAGCAGGTCTTTGACTGTAGAGGTTGAGTGCCACCACTATAAAAACAAACGCGGCTTTTAAACCACAGTCATCTGTGAAGACAAAACCTAAGATACTATGGGGTGAATTGATTTCTCAGGAGCTCCATAATGACATCCAAAGCCTTTCTTTTCTGGGCTCCTGGTCCCCATCCAACTTCCCTGGACTCAGGCACTTCCATGTAACAACAACAACAAAAAAATGCCACTGTAATTGCCTCCTTTTATTGACAGCTTTATAAGCGAGGCCAAGTTTGACAAATGACTAGTGGAAACCAAGCTACTGTCTCACTGGTCCCTTCAGAATAGAACTGAGACTCAGCGATGAAATATTGCAGGCTTAACGTGTGTGGTTGCTGCCCGTTCTGCCCCTTTCACACTGTGCTCAGCTCCGATGGGGCTTGAAAAGAAAGGACAATGGTGTCTGTCATTCTGCAGCTGGCTGTCCTACCTCTGAGCTACGCTCAGCCATCACTCTTCTGTAGTACCCTGTGAAATAAAAATGAAGCCAAAATGAGTATTCTTAATAAAAAAAAGGCATTGTGGCATTAGCGAGAGAGGTTGAGATTCTGAATTTGTGCCCTGGCAAAATTCAAGCTTGCAAATAATAAAAATTCCTCAGTAATTTCACTCTGACGTTGTACTCATCTTTGCTTCCCAACCCAGATAAACTGCCCTATTCCTGCCAAAAACTGTGGTTCAAATGCAGTGCAGTGCACTTTCTATTTTATTGCACTTGTGTATTCTGCCAAAGTCAGTAAACTAACTTTTCCTGGTTCACTCCTGGTTTACTTCCCTACATACAAACAACAGGAAAAAACCCACTGACTCTTGATACTTCAGGCACGACGTGTAAGTATCCCTCCCGCAGACATGGCGAGGCGTGAAGGAAGTGGCTGGTAGCGAGCCTGTCGCAGGCTGCGCTCTTCCCCGGCGGGCACGGGGAGATGCTGCGAAGCGCCACTGCAATTAACTTGCAGGATTTTGTGCAACGAGCCTCCAGCAAGTGTCAGCTCTGGGGAGCCGTAACTCTAGACAGCTCTGTGGAGGTTGTAGACACTCGGTGTGTCAGCATCCCTTAACGATGCGCGTTACCCCCGTGTGTCGGCATCCCTTAACGATGCGCGTTACCCCCGTGTGATCAGCAGGGGAGGCACTGCCTGACATACAGGCTGAGGTGCGTGTCCAGCTCTTTCCCAGGATGTTCTGTAGATAAGATTTTCAAAACCATCTGTCTGCTCAGCGGTGGGAGAAGATCAAAGCGGCTGCTGGATGTTTTGAAAAAGTCCTACCCTGAAAGATATGTCGTTGGCCTTGGATGAATCTTAAGTGCTTCTAAATCTCCCTACAGACATCCCTCCTCTCTCCTGTAAAGGAGATGCTGAGAAGTATCAATGTTACTTTTATGTTGCATAGTCTCAGGAAAACCAAACTAGATCTGAAAAGCTATGAAAATAAAATTCCCACAGCAGCATGTGTTCAGTGCCCCAACACGCACAGGCTGTTTTCAAGTTCTGCTTTGCAGCTAGAAATGGAATTAAATACATTGTGAAGTGATTTGGCTTAAAGAATGCCAGTACTCAAAAGCTTTGTCGGTGGACAAAGCTCCGTGAGTATCGGTTTTCATCAGGAGATTATTTGGTCTAGAGTGTGCAAACCAATTAAGTGAGCACTGGGGTTAAAAATTGCTGAAATGCTAGAACTTTATACTGTGCTCCATTAATTTATTTAGTAGGTAGTGAGCAGGCCCTGCCTGAGGAAAGCACTGCAAGATCCTTCTTGAGAAAAGCCATTATTTAGCTAAGTAAAAATACTCAATTAGAAACAGAACCTTGGGCTTTTGGGCTAGTGGCCTGGCACTGTTCTTTTTTGCACGATGTTGTATTTTGTTGTGGTGCTCAGTGATGTCATGGACTGTGGGACCTTGCACTGGTAGATGTTTTCACATAGCGAAGCAGTGCCACCCAATGGCTCCTCTGCAACACAGAGATGGTGCCTGCCTGCTCCAAAGTACACACCTGGACACCTCTGGTCGGGGATTTATTGCCCCGAGGTGGGAATTAGCTGGTCACTGGCAGCAACTCCAAGTCCTGTTGTGCAATGCACAGAGACTGAGCAGGGCCAACGCAACAGAGGTGGAGGGCATAGTCTCTGTTTAGAGAGAGGTGAAACTATTTGCAGATATGGTGGGGCTGTGGGGAATATTGGGTGGCCTGTTTGCCGTGTCTCCAGTGGGTCGGGGTGGAAGGATGCTCTACCAGGAGGTGGGACACGTGCCCCAGCCCCCTCTCTGGGGTGGGCTCTGTCCTTAGCGTAGAGGGTACATCCCCCCTGCAGCATGATAGGAGGGTGCTTTCGGTCAGCAGTCTTCTTTTGGTGACTGTACCCTCAAATTGCAAAAATAGAAAAAATCTATTTGTCAGAATTGTCTCTGAATACTGGAGCTTAAATCTTAATTTGGACAGCAGTTTATTAATCTCCAGAAAGGCTGAGGCAGGATCTCTGTCTCAAAATGGTTCCCGCACACAGAGCAATAGCTGAAAGAACACCTAGAGCATAATGCGTGCTGAATTTGCAATGGGATTTTTCTGAGGCAGCAGTTTAATGGTTGTTGTCCTCTGCAGGGGCTCCCGAGCGAGCCGTGTCCCACTACAGGCAGGCCATCCGCCTGAGCCCCACTCACCACGTGGCCATGGTGAACCTGGGCAGGCTTCACCGCTCCCTGGGGCAGAACAAAGAGGCTGAAGTGTGGTACAAGCGGTAAGAATTTGGGATGGGAGACAGTGGTTTCCGTCCTCCTCCTGTAAGGCTTGTCTCTCTAAAGCACCTCTGATACATGAATCTGGTAGTGCATGTTTGGGGTTTGCCCTATTCCTTCTCCACCTTTTTGAAACCAAATTTACCTTTGCTTATTTGGCTATTTTTGGGGAATGCCGGGAGGGGCAGCACGGACTCAGGCAGTGTTGATTTCCCAAGTCCCCAGGATGGACACACTGCAGCTTTTGGCTGGAGGATGCTCTAACAACAGCACCAGAGGTTTCTCAGTGGCACAAGCAGGTTGTTAGCACCAGTAACAGCCACGAATGCTGCACAGCCTAGCACCAAAACCTTGGTGCTCTCAGGAACTCAAGCCCTTGCCAGCAATGTGCCAGTAGGCAGGCTCTGACTCGAGTGTGTAGCAGGGTGGACTGTCTTTTTTTTGCCTCCTTTTTGGCATCCTGATTTGTGCTCACACTCCCTGGGTTCTGCCACCATCAGCCATCCCCACCCCTGCTGCTAGCTCGCGTGCACTTCGGAGGTGGCCCTCTCTACTTCTTAGGTGGTCAGAGGGTTTGCTGCTGTGGGCACGCTCCTCCCTCCCCGGGACATTAAATTTGTGCTCCACGGAGTGGGATGAACTTGCCATGCAGAGCACAGAGCTTCGCTGCTCCATCCCAGCGCAAGCAACACCTCAGTCTTCTGTTTTGCTCCCCACACCACCTGGAAGCATCTCTTTTTCCCAAATTCCAGGGCACTGAAGGTTTCCCGGAAGGCCGAAATCCTGTCCCCGCTGGGGGCTCTGTATTACAACACGGGGCGGTATGAAGAAGCGTTGCACGTCTACAGAGAAGCAGCATCACTGCAGCCTTCAAACAAAGAGATCCGACTGGCGCTGGTGAGTGTGGGGTGAGCTTGGCTACGGCAGGACCACAAAAGTGGGGTGGGATGGCTGTGTTAGTGTGAACATTGCCCAAGGCTCAGTGCTTGGTTCTGTCTCCACGCCAGCCATCCAGTGACCATCATCTCTCCTGTCCTCCTTCTTTCCTTCTCACCCATCCCAACCTCAGACCCAAGTCTCAGCCACTGCCTTTCCAGCTGAGCAGGACTTGGCATAGAGAAAATCTGACCTGTCATGAACAGGAGAAGAAGGAGCCCAGTACCAGCTGCTGGGTGCAGCATCGTGTATTAAAGAGGGCTGAGCTCTTTAAGATCATAACCCTTTATAATGTGGCTCCATAGGCTCAGGTTTTAGCAATGATGGGGCGGACGAAGGAAGCCGAAAAGATGACAAACCATATACTCAACGAGGATGCGGAGTGTCTGGAGTGCTACCGCCTTCTGTCAGCCATCTACAGCAAGCAGGAGCACTATTCCAAGGTACCGTGGCCACAGAGTACCCTTGTCCTGAGGGCCCACACACAGAGCTCAGGTTGAATTTTACACTCCATCTCTCCAGAGACATGTCACATGCCTTAGCGCACATCCAGTAGATCTATTTTTTTCACTAAAACCTTCTGTTTATCTGAGTACTGGGACTGAGGCTAAGCAGCGTGGTTTTCTTACCACTTACCGCTCCTGCTGCTGTCAGCCCCACTGCCCATCAGCCCCAGGCATCTAAAACCTCATTTGCACACGTGTTAAAAGTGTGGGGCAAACAAGGGAAGGAGGAAGATGACTCTTATGCTGGGGGGCCCTAGTGGTGAGGAGAGCATGAGAAGTGGAAAGGCGCAGAACATGATAACACAATGTCCTCTTACTTTTTTGCAGGCACTTGAAGCTATAGAAAAAGCTCTTCAGCTAAATCCAAAGGATCCAAAAGTCATATCAGAGCTCTTTTTCACTAAAGGAAACCAGCTTAGAGAACAGAATCTCCTTGACAAGGCTTTCGAGGTATGATTGCTTTAAGCCCTATGGATAGTTTATAGGTTAAAAGATAGTTAGCTCATTGCATCTAATGCTCCCTGGTCCATGCACCCTGGCTGTTCACCAGTGGTGCAGCTAAAGCTATGGGCAGCTAACTTTGCCAGACTTAGTTGCAACTTTTTTCCTCATTCCTGTGTGGAAATACAGCTCGCTGCTCTGAGAGGTTAAGTACAGAGTCGTGGTGGGATTATGGAGGAGCCTAGGCATCTTCTCATTGACAAGACCCTTGGTCTATCCAGCCCCTCTTGCTCGTGATGGCCAACTCTAGGTGGCTCAGCTGGAAGCTTGGGGACCTGTGAGAGGCCACCATGTTGTTATATTATTACCTAGTAGCTGAGAGATTGGCTTATCCTGAGAAGCAGGAGGCTTGATAGCTCAGAAATTATGTTAGTGTTAAATAACAGCACAGAATATGGTTGTTGGGACAGTTCTGAATGTTCTCAATGTCCCTAGAGATGTCTAATCCTGATTTGAATCCTTTCCTGTTGTGACACCATAAAAATGGTGCTGTTTGACAAATTCCAGAAGGTCCTCTTTGCTTCTTCTCCCATGCACAGTGGCAGAAGCAGTGGGGAGGGGAAACACTGCCCTCAGGTCCTTGTGAAACCTCCACACAGGTGGCTGTACCATAGTCTGCTGCCAGCTCCAAATTAAAGCCTTGCAGATAAGGAGCATCACAGCCCACCCATGGCTTGTGGGTGACAGTCACCTGCCCAGGAAAATGACTGTGATGTGCAGGAGACCCCGGTGGTGCAGGGTGGCAGGGAGAGGGTCGCAGGGGTTGGTGCAGCTCCGTTTGGAGCACTGTGGGCAGGGAAAACCTGTGAGATGAGCTCAGCGGTGAAGCAGTATGTTATGTCACCTCTGCTGTAAAGAAACTGAAATTCAGCTTGTGCATTGTATATGAAAAGAACTAGAAATTATCTTTTAAATGGATTCAGAGGGAGAGGAAACTTAGTTTCTCTTTCCCCTCCAGCACTGCTTTTGTTTGAAGACTCAGACTCTTAATCTAAAAATGTTTCGTATTTATGTAGAGCTATAAACGGGCTGTGGAACTCAACCCAGACCAAGCGCAGGCCTGGATGAATATGGGAGGCATTGAGCACATCAAGGTATGACAGTTTTGCTTTTCCTTAAGCTGTGAACTGCAAAGACTACTACTCAGGGCAGAAATCTAAATTTATTTCAGACTGCCAAGAGCTGAATGTTTGTGAACAGTGAGCGTCCCCAATGCGTTTTATCCAAAAAAGGAGGAAAATCTGTCGACCCCAGATGGAATTTCCCAACCGGGTTGCTTGGGAATATGTATGCAGTAATGTAAATCCCATATTTGTAAGAGGACAGGCTGCAAGGAACAACTTGCCCATCTCTAAAGTTTTCCTGCTTTGATTGTTGACCTGCCTAAGAAAAATGTCACCATGAGTGGACTTTTAACATTCCTCCCTACCTAATTAACTTAATAAAGATGTCTAATGCAGAACACTGGCATGAATTTATGGAAATAGCCTGTCCTGTGGTTGCTTATCTTTTTGAATACTTTAGCATATCATTATGATTTGGGTCTTAAGGAGTCACATTATGCGATATCCTCAAGCTATCCTATCGCTGAGTAAAATTAACTCTTCTGGTACAACATAACAGAAGAATGTAAATCTACTTCTTGCTATGTGTGTTTGATCAAATTCAGGCTAACGGCACTCAGTGATCCATTTCATAATGAAGAAGTATTCCTGTTACCTAACAATATCAAGTTTTATAGTGTTTTTCCTTTGTGTTACAGTCTTCACCATTCCCAAGAATGAACTTTCTATGTAAGGGAATGCGAATAAGATCTGTCACTCATTTTCTTTGTAGGGGAGCTATGTCACTGCCCGTGGCTACTATGAGAAAGCCTTACAGCTGGTTCCAAACAGCAAGTTGCTGAAGGAGAATCTGGCCAAACTGGATCGCTTGGAGAAACGGTTTCAGGAAGTCCAGGAGAAAGACCAAACATAGCATTCAGTCACCGGTGGAAAGAAACTCATGCCCCTTGGAGAAGAATATGGTCGAAGCCTATTTCTCGAAGTGATGCTGAAGGAACTTTGATAGGACTCAGAATTATGGAAGGCAAATTTTGAATGCATGCGTATGTTTGACCAAAGTTACAAGAGACACTCGGCTCCTGTGGGACATGCTGGAGAATGAATGAAAACCTTCCTTTAATCAAGATTAATGTTTAGGCTGAACCCATTTTAATCACATCGGGAGTGTGGGTGGGACACATACCTTCAATATCTTGGTTATCATGGGGAAACCATGGAGACAAAGCACTCATCCGTTACAGCGGGGCTGACATAACACCTCCTGTTAGTCAACACAGGCTCACCTCGTTCATGTAAAGTACCACTGATGGGCTTCATTGCAAGTGCTGCCAGGTCATTCTGAGCCAGGAAAGATGGTTGTAATGGTCACATAAAAGGGTTTCAAGGGGTTAATGCTGAGGAAATGGTGGCCAATTTTACAGCTCTAACTGTGACTTGAAAATTATTCTAAAGAAAGGGAAAACAGTGTCTGAATATCACCCTTGAAGGATGATTGTACAAGTAGGACAAATGATCCTTTGAGGGAAAACCGCAGCTGAATGTTTTACTCATAAGACAATAGTCTTTTTGTATGGTCCATGATGTCAGTATTGTCAAATATCATATGGCTTTACCCTTTGCCCTCTCCCTCCAGACCAAATAATTATTACTCTGAAAAAACTGGAATCATCCAAAGGCAATGGGAAGCTCCAGGATTACTTGTCCTCCTGTCCAGTCCCCAGTAAAAGAACAAACAACTGATCTGATCAGTATAGGAGGTAAAGTAAAGCCACAGAGAGATTAGGGAAGATTTCATAGGCTGGAAAGGTACTAAGGAGGCTTTTTTATGGGTGTGCAGGGACAAAGCCCATTTATCATGGTGATAACACTGACAAAACACTTCGTCAAAGTGTTCTCACCCCCTCCCCCAAAAGATACTGAAAATGACCTATAGCTGATCAGTCATAAATCTATATTTTTAAATACTGAAGTGGGAAAACAAATTCTCTTCAGAAATGGGGCTTTTATTTTTGAGCTTTATTTATTTAACTTATAATAATCAAATAATTAATATATTTTCTCTGTTTTATATGAATTGGGCAGTATCCTTCACAGCTGGCCGCATGGCTGGACGTTGTGACTTTTATTGTCTGAAGTTAGAAAAATGCAGCACCACCGAGGCGTGCTTGAATAACCCCCTAAGGATGTTTCTCAAGCAAATGTCTGCAGAGCACATTGGACCAAACTGCCACTGCAATAACAGCACTTCTGCTGCTTCCACCGGGGTTTGTACCAGTTCACAGACAGCATTGGTGGGATCATGCTTGGTATCACTGCCTTTGGATTTGGACATTAGGGTAGGTCATCAGTTTGTTGTTCTTGCAGCAGGAAACTGCCCCAGAAGTTGTTATATTTGAGCTTGATAGTGGCCGGTGCCTGCAGAAGAGCATCCAAGGTTCGGCATTATTAGTAAAGGACAGTTCAGATTAGGTATGCCATGCCTTGATACACATCTGTCAGGAAAAGCCTGCGTGGCACTGACCCACGTGGTGCCTGGGTTTAGTTGGTGCTGGCCATGGCACCTCGGCAAGCTCCAAATGTGCTCAGCATGATGGGACAGCTGAGCGCTGGTGGCTCCGCTGGCTTCGTTTCAAAAGCTCGGTGTCTAGCCACTACTGGTGGTCAAATGACTGACAAATTATTAACGTGATTCCAACTGCATGTGGAGCTCAGAGGGAGTCCAGACTGGTGCAGATGTCTGCCCTGCCAGGGCTTGTGGACCTGCTGAAGCCATGGCTGTGCGCCCACTGAGACAAGGCTGGACTTGGGAGGTACTGGTCCCCACTGGCCAAGGAGACTGGCCAGTGCCTGCATCTGGGCAGAGGCGGGAGGGAGGAGGTGGTGACACACATTTCTGGGCTCTCTCCCTTTGAACCCTTCGGCTTCCCAAGGGAGCAGCTGGGACCAAAACAAGCAAGTCTTTTGCTGGTGAATTTTCCCTTCTCCCCCCAGCCCAAGCAGCCTACACTGCTTTCCAGGGCTGTGGGCCGGTTTGAGGTCCTGGGGCTGGGTCAGCAAACCTTGTCTCTTCACACGACTTTTATGGCCATGGACTTGCTGATCTGATGTTTCTGCAGGTCCCCAGTGCAGGCACTCCGCTGGATGCCATGCATGGAGTAGCTTTGCACAGCCTTGGAGCTCCCAGGATGGCCGGGAGATGGGGTCGTGCCAGCATTGTCCCATGGGATGGGGAAACCGAAGCCTCTGGCCTCTGTGAGCAGTTGGTTCCCCACTGTGCATTGCGAAGTCGTAGATGGCTCATTACCGGGGTATTCGGAGGTACCTGGACCATAAAGCTCTGTGTCTCTCCCCAAGGTGAGCCTGCCAGAAGCCCTGTGTGCCCAGGCTGGCTGCCTGCAGTACCGCTGTGTGGCGGCGAGCTTGGGGGCTGGCAGAGCGGTGTTTGGTGCAGCCCCTGGCAGCGGTGCTGTGCGAAGCTCCCCTGCATAGCAGGCGTCTGCGGAGAGGGCTTAGCTGAAGTGTGGTGGTTAGGGGTGGAGGGAGATACGTCTCATTTAAAAACATGTATCAGCTATAAACTTTGCCTCATAAAGATATATTAAATAAATACTTTATATTCTACAAGCCCCACAGCAGTGCGGCTTTAAATTGTGGCCAATGAAACATATATTTTCAAATATAGAAGAAGTTGTATTTTTTATAACAATGCTTTGTGAGGGGGAAGACTTGGTTTTGTGTTTTTAACTTTGGCTTAAATCTTAGTTTGTCTTTCCTGAGAGACCTGGTAGAAATGATTGTCTTGTTCTTGTCCTAGAACCTGATCAAAGCCATCTTGACCTCCTAAAACTACGTGTGTAAAAGTATAACATAGCTTCTCCCAGATCCTGGAGAAGGCTTGATTACCATTTTTGCAACACTGTCTTACTTGCAGAACAACACAGAAAGATCAGACCATTCTCCCGGTGAGGGAGGCGGTTTGATTGGAAGGCATGGTGCTTGTTCATCCATTCGCATGAATTAGGCAGGTAAGATATCCACGGAGTTTAATCCCAGTTGAACCAGATCACGTTTATACGCCGAAAGGCTGACTCCCCACATTTTGAAGCTGGGTTTACGGTAGTTATGGAGAGAGGAGGGCTCGGTAATGAACCCCACTTTCCTGTACCAGCACTTTGTACCCCATCTATGCAGGATGACAGTCTGCAAACTGGCAGTGTGTTTGGAGGACGATTCAGACCCTGAGCTACCAAAGCAGTTAAACCCTTGTGAAGTTTGGAGCTGACTCCCTGTCTCGCTGGCATCCATGCTGAAATGCTGTGTTTGTTCAGGACATTAATCTTGTGAAAGGTTTATTGCAGGTGAAGAAAAGGAATGGAGTATGATATGAAATGGGTTACCTCCACCAAAAGGGAATGCGATTGTGGAAGATAAATAGAGCAACTTACCTTGTGATAAACTGGATATTATCCTAATTAATCATAGGAAATGTCCTCTTCCTCTGGCATTGCACAGCTTCTAAAATAATGAATTATAAATACATTGTTTTCTGCCAATTCCAGTGCTCAGCAGGATTAGCAGAGATTACAAATTAATAAATGGCTGAAGCTCTACCTGGTGGGGGAGAGTTCACTCTGCAAGTTGCATTGGCTAAACCTCAGTGCTCACCAATATAAAAGTGGAGAATTAATGGGAAGCTGGTTAGATAGGACTCTTGTGTACTCACTGTGCATTTTAATCCTAAATGAAAAACATAATAATTGTGTTGCTTTTTCCTTTCTCCATGAATAATATTTTCAGCTGATGGATTTTGTTTTATTTTATTGTTTATTTAAAGTCCAGCATTCTTTGCTTCCATTCCTTTTCCATCCCCCAGGATAAATGATGCAGTGGGGGGCATTTCTCTCTCTCGCAGACTGCTTGGACTAGATTTTCCTACAAATGTGCAGGCAACTTGTTTTGGCCAAACAGTAAGTGAATGCAGCAGTGCAAATGGCCTTCATTGCAGAGATCTTGACGAGGATGGGGAGGGGTGTGCATGCATGCACATGGGCGGAAGACGTCTGAGTCAAAAAAAATCCAAAATAAAGAGCCTAACTTGCAGGGGAGGCTGGACACCCCTAAAACTATCTAAAAACTATGAAAGTGTCTCAACAGTTATAGAAACCAGGCTAAATATAGTGTACAATATTTGGCCATAGGAAGATGATTGCCATTCTAATTTTAATAATTAGGCCATTGAGAATATAGTTGTATGATCTTTTGCCCCACTTGTCCTCCAACTCAGTGAAACAGTTGGTATACGCTTAAGTCCTCTCAATCTGCACATGACAAAGTTGACCAAGTGCTCAATTTCTATCTTTCGTATATGCAATTATGCGCAGTCTTTGGAAAAAATTAGCCCTTAGAGGGTTTTTTCCCCAACCTTCAGTCTCTTGCAGCAATTTCAAAATGCACCATTTTGCTTTCATGTACATTTAAACCCAGCATCAAAAAAAAAAAAAAAAAAAAGAAAAAAGAAAAAAGAAAAAAAAAAAAGCGCTTGGCATTCACTACTAGTGTTTCAATGTGGCAAAGTTGCTTCAGGTAATCTTGATAACTTTGTGCAAGAGTTCATTGCCATGTTTGTACTGACTTGCTGAAATTTTTTTCCTCTGGAAAATACCCCTGGTGGTATCCCCTGTAAAAGTTACGGCTTCTACAACTGTATTAATGTAGAAATCTCTGCCTGAAGTGGATGTCACGCTGCGTGTTCCTCTCATGCGGGAGTTGTTTGCATTGCCTGTTGTTCGTATGGTTCTTATTTCTGTATCTAATTTTTTTAATCAATTGTGCATATCTTTAAAAAAAAAAACCACAAAACAAAACAAACAAGAAAAGAGCCCATGGATTAGAAATCTTTAAAAAATAAATTCACACTTAGTAACAGCTGGATCTACGTCAGTGGTACAGGAATTTGCAAAGTCTTTGCTTTTTTCACTGTTGGATTTATGGCTAGATTTCACATAAAGGAGTTATGCTCAAAGTCTTTGCAAAAGAAAATGTATGTAAATGTCTATTTTATATAAAAAGTAAGAAAAGTAAGTGTCCTGTCTGGTTTTGTTCTCTTGGCTATGGGGTTCCTTAGGACCAGCCATGAACAAGTTCTTCTGCAGGTGGAAGGACCAAAGTTTCTTACTGCACTTGACTTACATTTTACTGCCCAAGGAATCCTAGTTATTGGTCATGTAGGAGCAACTATGCCGCAGATGTATTTGAGTCTGGCCATATAAAAATATTGGAGCCGGCATTTTATTTGGAGCCTGAGCATGAGAAAGGATGAAGGCTGGTGCTTACACGGTCTTGATGATTGGACGTGTTATACTGACCTAAGCTCTTCATGTCAGGCTTTATACATCTGTCGGGAATGTGTCAAGTCTCCAGAGTGCAATGAGAAAAACAGAACATAAATTAAAAAGAAACTAATTTTGTTCTAATTCCCTTCTTCCTGGCAGACATTCCCAGATGCTCCTGTGTGCTCCCAGGGCTTGGGTCACTCAGGGGATTGTGATGGTGATAAACACCTCCATTAAAAATGGACCTGAAAGAGAATCAAAAGCCCTGAACTCAAGCCGTAGCGTTTCCTGCCATCTTGGCGTGTGCAAAACCCTCTGTAGCACGAAGGGGAATTGCACGCTTACTTTGAAGTCAGCCCGTACACCCTGAAGAACTCCCGGATCCCACCAGTGCAGTTTCTTAATGGAGCTTGGTACCCAGAGCTCTTCTGCTCAGGTCTCCCTGATGGAGGTACAGGATGTATGGCCAGGTCATAGCCTGGATCCTGCTCTGTGGAGCTGTGTTTTGCCCTTTCAGCAGAACAGGGAATACAGCATGGTGGTCTTGCCTGCAGATATAGTTGGCAGTTGGCATTGTTATTATCAGAGGAGAGAGATCTTCTTGCTGCCAGGGGCTGGCGGTGCCCGGGGGGACAGGCCGGGCAGCGCTTGCCTCCCCCCCCTCCCCATGCAGCCCCCCCCCCGGCTGCTGAGCAGCTCCCAAGGGGGGGGTAGCGATTGCTCTGCTGTGGGAGACCCCGGGGCCCCGTGTGCCCAGAAGCACCACCACACCCAGGGGGACTCTGCAGTTCTGGCCCCAAAGAAAAGGCAGCTCAATGCTTTAGTTGCTCTTGCAGTATTTGGATAGCAGCTCTCCCTGTAAAAAAGATCAAATAATTCTCATCCTTATGGCAGCTACTTAAGCCTCTCTGTAAACCTCATGTATTGCTTCACAGATGAAAAGCTGCTAGAGGTGTCCAACTCCCGTGATGTCCTACGGGAAGGACAAGGCAAACACAGCCCTGTGCCTTATAAACACACTGCTCCTGGCTGGCTTATGTGAGGAGAGACCACAGGGCAAGGAACTTGTCTGGACTTGCCTTTGGCTGTGCTAACCCTCCTCTGCAAAAGCAATGCGCTTTGTTTCAAACCACAAGGGCTGGGGCTGCTCAGGGCTGGTGGCAATGGGGAGGGGGGAGACGTGAGCTCCTGCTGCTGTCCCTGTGCAAAGCAGGTAGCAAACTACAAACAGGAGAGCCCAGGGAGGTGGTGACCCCCAGCAAGACATGGCTGGAGAACCTCCAAACCTGCCCGATCTGCAGCCTCACTGCCAAAACTGATTGGCCCTCTCATCCAGTAAAGGCTCATTAGGTTGGAAGGAAGAGGGTTGTTTCGCCTGTGTGTAGCCCTGCCCCACTCTACCCCCAGCACTGGGTGCTTTCCCTGGGCCATGGTGGGAGCAGGGCTCCTCTTGCTGCTGGTGTCCTTTCCTGCTCCATGTGGTGAGTCCTGTGCTTGGGCTGTGGGACAGGGGCTGTGGGGAGATGTGCCCCAGTGTGGCGGTTACAGCAGTGAGCACTGGTGTTATCTGCTCTTTTAGCTGTGCTGTACTCTGCTGGTTTTGGCCGGGGCAGAGTTGATTTTCTTCATAGTAGCTAGTATGGGGCTGTGTTTTGGATTTGTGCTGTAAACTCTATTGAGAACCCAGAGATGTTTTAGTTCCTGCTGCGCATTTTTCCAAGGCCTTTTCTGCTCCTCACCCCACCCCACCAGCGAGTAGCTGGGGGTGCACAAGGAGCTGGGAGGGGACACAGCCAGGACAGCTGACCCCAACTGACCATATGATGTCATGCTTGGCATATAAAGCTGGGGGAAGAAGAAGGAAGGGGGAGATGTTTGGAGTGATGGCGTTAGTCTTCTCAAGTAACTATTACATGTGATGGAGCCCTGCTTTCCTGGGGATGGTGGAACACCTGCCTGCCCGTGGGAAGTGGTGAAGGAATTCCTTGGTTTGCTTTGCTTGCACGCAGCTTTTGCTTTACTTATTAAAAACTGTCTTTATCTCAACCCACAAGTTTTCTCTCTTTTCTGATTCTCTCCCCCATCCCACTGTGGGGGAGTGCTTGGCTGCTGGCTGGGGTTAAACCACAACAGATACCAAACAGGAAAATATAACCAGTTGGTTTCCATAAATCATACTGGAGCTTGGTATGCTTGTCCCTGGTGAGTGATTTTGGGATGCCCTTGCTGTAGCTCTGCTGGGACTGGAAGCCTTTCTTACACTCTCCTTCTAGGTGCTGCTTACCCCAGCCTTCTCCTGGCTGCTGTGGCAAGTGAGCTGTTCCCCATGCAAGCCGCTCAGCTGCGGTGAGGTCACTTGGCTGTTCAAGAAAGAGAAATTGCTTGGTCCTGCTCAGCTTGGTAACTGGTGATGGTGGCGCAGTGAGGTCAGGAAAGTGTCTAGGATAGCAATGAACATCAGCATGTTCTCAAATCTTTCTTACGCATCCTCCTGCAGTGGCTAACACATTTATAACTGTATGGCCTGCTCCCCATCCATGTAAAAATTTGTCTCCTAGGGATGCTTATAGGTAAGAGAAGGAAATGATAATGAAACCAGTGCTAAAAAGATCTGCCCAGCTGGGGCAAGAGAATAACCACCTAACTCCCTTCCCTCCCATCCTGCTCCAATACGATGCTGGTCCTTCTGCTGTCTCTAATGCTATTTCTCTCCCAAGCTAAGGGAATGGTGTTTTCTCCACCATTTACCTCCCTAATAAAGTCTGTCTATTTTCTACTTCACTAGTAGACTTGCTGCTATAGCAATAATCACCACAGTCTCTTGTTGGAAAAGCTAGTCAGCAGCAAGGGCTAGGGAGAGCTTGCTCCGGGTCAATGGCTTAGAAAATTGTGCCTGATTTTGTGACTGAGCTTTCTGCAGTAGTCAAATGCTTTGAGGCCAGAGAATGTCCTGGGAACCTGATAAAATGCTATGAAAAAAGGGAAGGAGAGAGAGAGAGGCTGGGCTGGGAGCCCAGCAAGGAGCTCAGTTAGCCCCTCGACAGCCAGGAGTGCTGCAGGAGCTGTGCAAGGATCCCCACAACCTTGTGGGGCGAGTCCCACTTGTTGCTGCTGACATCTTGGGGTGGTTGGCCATCTGGGTAGATGAGAAAGATGTGGGCTCCTCCATTCTCTGGCACTTGGGTAAGGTAGTGTGAGAGATTGGTGGGCTTTCTAACGCCTGTCAACCTCATGGGCAGGTTAAGCCAGTAGCATTGCCTTCAAGTCTCCACACAGGATATAAGCCCCAAAGCTAGAGAGAGGGCTGGAGGGGTGGTGGTGTGATAGTTTGGATCCAGACTCAGGCTCCTGGTGACTCCAGCGAGTTATTCCAGGCTCTTGCTGGGGCAAACACGGTGCTAAATCATGAGAATTATATTGCTTATGTCTGCATGGCTGAGAACTGAACTTTTGTCCCAGCCTTGGCTTGGGAGAGGCAGGGGACCCCTCCTATTGGCCTGAGAAACACATTGGACAGGAGTGATTAACCAAGTGATTTTCAGCTGGTGCAGACACGGGTCAGCTGAAGGGAGTGGAGGAAGAGCTGCTGTCCTCTTCTCAGCAAAGGAGCCAGAAGCCTGATGCTACCCCTCTCCTGAAACCACCCAGCCTGGAGAAGCAAACCTCTGGAATGAGGAGTTCCAATTGGTTCCCTTTGTGTCCCACGTATTTGAGATCACTCCTCCTGCGTGATCTTCGCTGTCATGATCAGGTTTTGGAGCTGACCCTGGGGAGCAGCACACCCCTTCCTCCTCCACCCAGTGTGTGGTCCAGCAGGCCTGTCAGTGTGTGCATCACTCCCTGCTGGGTGAGGGCTTAGGGGGAGTTTCCCAGAGAATATAAATGTGATTGCCACGAATTTATCTCAAACTGCACACAGTTCAGTGAAGCATTTAAAACTTAATCAGAGCCAGCCGTTCCTGGCTGGACCCTGCTCTAAGTCAAGCTTTCCCTATGTTTATTGTTCATATTTCTTAAGGCACAATCCGTGCCAAAAGCGATGTGAGAAAGCTCTGTCTCCTTGCAACGTATTTCAGACCAAAACCAAGACTGAGTGCTGGGCAGCTCAGTTCAGAGACAAGATCTTTCATGATGACTTTACTTGCTCAGGTTGAGTGCCCCAGGGCACTTAAGGTATGGAAGCTTTGAAATAATAAACTTCAAATAAAATCTGGTGGCATCATTGTAACCTGTTGCACTTGTTACTTAATTTTGTAAGTCCCAGTTGCATTTCATTAAGAATAATTAGGCTACTGGATGAAATCTAAATTTGCTTTTTTTATGGCTGTGCACACACATCATGAAAGTACCTCACAGGAGACCTCAGCTTTGCACACATCAGCTTCTTATCAAGAAATGCAATTTCTGTGTGTTTTCATTTATCTCCATATAATTGCCTTCAGCTTGGAGCTCAGGCTGGAGCCAGGAAAGCTGTGGCACCTGGGGTTTGTCCTATTAATTCCCTACCTGCCAGAAGAGCCTGAGGTGATGTATTTGAGCATGGGGGGGTGTTTCACTGCAGAACATGCCTGTTCTTGTCTTCTGTGTAGGCCTGAAGTGTGGAGTTCATCCTGTTGACTTGAAGAGCCTGGAGGATGCTCAGCCACTGGGATTCTTCTCTTGAATTGGTGGGAGAGAGTTGGTACCTGGAGGGCAGCCCTGGCAGGTCTGTGTTGCAGTGTGCTGCCTTCCCCCCCAGGGAAGAGGGAGAAGAGGCAGGAGTACCTCTCTTTCAGCCTCAAGTCATTGAGCACTGCTTGCCCAGGAGTGGAAGCTGGACTAAAAGTCCTTCTTGCCCAGCTTCCCAGGCTGATTCCCCTCCCAAACTGGGAGGGAATGAGCTGATCTAATAGCTAAGATGAGATCTCTGACAGATGTGAGCTAATGCAACTGCAGAGCTTTGGTGGTGTGGACCAGCCAAGGATTTGCTGGGTTTTATGGTGTAGAAAGAGACTGCAGAGGTGGAAGGGAGGATGCCTCCCTGGTCCCCTGCCACAGAGGAAAGTTACCTTGCCTGGCGGCTTGTGCACATGTAAGGAAAAGCACAGAGCAATGACTGTGGGATGATGCTTTAGGAGTAACCGAGCAGGGCATGGTTCTATTTAGAAAAGTACTACTTGTTTGCATGTTGCCAGAGCAAACACTGGCACCTGTGGCAAACAGTGTTTGCCACCTCCCTCTGCCCAAAACCCAGTTCCTGCGTGTGCAGCAGCTTGAAAATGTATGCAGGGAGTAGCATGAAGGGCAGGAAGGCAAAGGAGGGGGTAGTGTAGGGAGAGGGTAGGGTGCTGAGATGAGGGGGATCGATCTGCCGGACCCCTGGCTAGCATCAAGCTCTGGGAGGTCAGGAAAGCGCTGAAGAGGAGATGTCTGTTTAGTCCCCTCTGTTTCAGGATGCTCCAGGGTCTCATTCCTGCCATGCACCTCTGGGCTTAAAGGTAGCTGCCAAGGGTCAGCCATGGCTTGGAAATGACTCCTCTGGGCAGCTGAGCACCCTGCACGCTAATGCTGTGAGGAAAAAGTTTTTTCTAGACTGGGCTGATCTTTGTTATTTCCCATTTTGGGAGGAAACAGGAGTCACCACATCTCAAAATGTACCCGACCTTCTCTTTTAAGGTGTTCCTCAAACTGGGCTGTTTCTGTGGTTGTGGTCTGGTCTGAGAAGATGTGGTTATTACTGCTGCTCACTACGTGGTCAACCTGGAACAGTAAGTCAGCCTGACCTCCTCACTCACTCTCAACACCTCTTGCAGCAGAAATTCCTCTAAGGACGTGAGGAACTGCTGGGCCCAGGTATGTGGTCCCCAGTCAGGGAGGGAAATGTCCACCCTGGGGCTGAGTGGGACCAGTGCTCTGCCACAGTCAGATCTGCCATGGGTCCTCAGGCACCTCGTGCACCACCCAGCAGCCTGCTTGCTCCTCCTGGGTCTCTGCATGTTTCTCCCCAAAGCCTGGGGAGAGGGCTCCCCTGCACAGGCAGACTGCAAAACAAATTCAAATGTCCTGTTCAGTGCAAAGACCAGAGAAGCATTTCTGAGGCAGGAGAAGCACTGCAGCTTCCTGATAAAAGCAGCCCTGGCAACTGTCCCATTACTCCTAGCAGTCACATTGGTTTCTGTACTTCTAATGCAAGACCAGCTTTATGGGTCATGCTACAGACCTCTTAAAGGGCAGGGACAATGATATAAGTGGCCCCTTTGCCAGCCCTTTTATAACTCATTATAATGTAATTGCAGACCAGTCAGCTTCACATCTGTTTTTTGCTCAACTTGAGCAACGTTTTTGAGGATTGGTGTTGAATAATGAGGAAGTTGCTATGGTATGAAAATTTCAATGTGCAAGATTAACCTTGATGACGAGGTACCTCCTTGTTTCTCTTATCCATGCAGAAATTAGACAGTGCTTTTAGTCTCCACTGTTATGCTGCTAATGCTGGTCTTGTGTTCCCATTACTGCAGCGTTTGCATTGCCAGGCAATCCTGTTGTCAGACAGTGCTGGGAAGTACAGAAACTTTCCTGTTCCTGTAAACAGCCTCCTCGGATGAAAGCTGAGCTGTGCCATTAGCAGGTCTGTTATTTATGGATGGAAGTGATTAGAAAATGAGAAGGGTTTCCCTGTGTGGGGGGGAAAAAAAAAACCAACTTAATTTACAAGAAAGCAAAGGCTTGATTGAACCTCCCCATACCCTGAATCAAAACGCTCGGGGCCACGCTTCGGGGCAGGCAGCTGTAATAAAGTGTGTGCCTACCAGCCCTGTCAAGCCAGGCTGCCCGGGCTTCCCACCTCCAAAGGCTGCACGGGTGAAATAGCGTGGTGGTAATTCACAGCAGTCAGACTGTCATGAAGGGGTGCAATCCCATAGAGGTTAGAGAAGAGATTGAGGGCAGGGTTTAAAAAAAAACCCCAAACCAAAAACAACAAACAAAAACTATAAACCTACTAGAAATCAGTGATAAATGGGCTTCAAAGTTCTTGTCTGAGCACTGGGGTTTCTTGGACCCCAAGAAAGTGAACATAGTCTGGAGAGAGAAGGCAATTTCTTCAGGTCTGAGTTTTGACCTGTTTCGATAATAGCTCAGACAGACTCTTTAATCAGCCCTAATTGCAAAGATCTCGAGACAAGCTCGCTGCTGTGTTGTGCCCTGTGCTGTGCGAGTTGGTAACGGGAAACAGCCGAAACACAGGCAAGTGGTGTGCCTCCTGTGGGCACCTCTCGCAGGGCAGGTCGATGAACACAGTTCATGTCTTCCACTGAGCACAAAACTGTCCCACTGTGCGCCCCAGTGCACTCGTTGGGTCTCTAGAGGAGAGTAAACTCCTTCGCTAAAGATCTGGTTTGCTAAAGGTGGGATCTACTGCCAATCTAGTTATTGGGTAACTCCGCTGTGATAGCGTAGCTATCTACCTAATTGGTAAAAGGAATACTGAATGGTGTTTTGACTCTGCTGGAGCGGATTACTCTAAGTTTAATTGTGACATTATACTGCTTATAAAATATGCAGAAAAACCATAATGGGCATACACTTTTCTAGTGTTAATTCAAACTACAGGTAACTGCCTGAAATCATTGTAAAGCTCTCACATGTAGGCCTCTGTTCATCTCTGAAATGCACTGATAACACAATTAGAAAGGAGGATTTATGGGGCCAGAATGACTTGGCAATCAGTCTCCATAGCTTTTAATGCTTCTCATGTGCCTTTTAGGCTCCCAGACTGCAGGTAACAAGGGCTGAGCTTGATGTTCCAAGGCCAAAACAAGCACAGGGGTTCTGTGACTCCCAAGACAAAAGATAAGCTGTCCTTTTCTCTGTACTGAGCTGGCAGCAATGAAATCTGCTGGCACCTCTCCTGGCAGCTCTCTGCTGCCCAGGTATGAACAGTGGCTTGATGGGTAGCAGATGAAACAAGAAACCTATTTAGCCATTTAAAAGTAAGTCCAGCTGGAGGTCAGGGAATTCTCTGCATTGCTGCTAACATGACATCAGCCCTGCTGAAAAACCTGTTACCGAAGGCCAGCTCTGGCTCCCGGGGCAGGAGCATGTTGTGGGGTTGCAGGTTCAGTGTCAGGGTTTGCTTTGTGGCGGCAGCCTCTTCCCTCATCACCCCAGCGCTGTTGGTTTTCGGTTTGTTTTGTTTTTATCAGGAAATTCCTGAAGAGCCTGGTGGTGACAGTGGGGGAGTGCCACCTCCAGCGGGCAGACAGGCAGGAGCAGAGCATTGCTGTCTCGTGTGTCATCATCCACCCCAGCTGCACTATGTGGACTGTGATGTGACCCTGCTGCCCCTGCAGCACCCAGCCTGGTACGGTAAGCAGGAGCCCAAGGGCTGGAGGTGAGCTGCTGCTGCAGGAGGATGCTTTATGGGGCAAAGTCATCATCTGATGTGCTGATCCAGAAAAAGCATCCCTATTCCTTCCCTTCCTATGCTCTCTGTGCTAGAGAAATGTCCCTTAAGTTATGCCTTTAATTCTTATCAAAGTAACACAATTGGGTTAATTCTTGTCCTAGGCTTTGATTAATTGTCCCAGAAGTTTATCCCTTGGTCAGGGTCTGTGCTCTGGATATGCCTGTGTTTTCTTTATGCACCAGATTCCTGTGTGCCTTTGTGCTCCCCTCGTACAAACTGTACCAGCACAGTTTCCTTCGGCGCTGTTGTGCTAACGCAAGCTCCCAGCTAGCTGCTGGAAACCATCAGCTTCCTCTTGGCCATAGCCCTGGGCTATTAGCTAGCAGTGGGCTGCCAGGGTCCTGCCCACCGAGAAGCAGGCCGGATTAAAACCTGCTTGCTCCAAGAGGCTTCTGCAGGCAAAGCCTCTGGAAGTGATTTTAAGGTGCTGGAGTTAGAGACTTGTGCCACTTCCCTAACTTCCTAGGGGTTTCAAAGGCAATTCCCTGAGTTATCTAGAGCTATGATGGGTTACAGCCAACTGGCCGTGACTGCCTCTGACCATCAGATGGCAGATCAGCCAACATAAAATAATCTTTTTTCACTGTCATGTATCAAATCACTGGCTCGGATGGTGATAGCCTTATGGTTTGCCCATAATGGCAGGAATGAGGGAAATAAGACCCAAGAAATGCTCAGACATCCTGGCAGGCAGCACGAGGAAGGCTGCTTGCGGGCTGCCTGTGTGCCTGTACTCTGTGGCTAAACAGGTATGTCTCTAGGCACAAGCTGGGCTTGATGGCATCTGAGCCGTATGGACAACCCTTGAGGACACGACAGGGCTCCCTGCTTTGCCCTTCCGTGAAGGCTGGGCACTGCCAGTGCCCCTTCGGGCAGCCAGGAGAACTTGGATCCATTTTTCTCCCAATATCAAGAAAAAACTAATCAATAAGTGTCTGGATTGAAGTAAGCCGAGTTTTTCATGTCCTGTATAACTCCTCTGATCACCACTGGTGTTTAGGGAGAATGGTGTGAAGAGTTTCCCAAGCACTGTCCAGTTTTCATGCTGTATGAGACTGATAGAGGCAACTTGCTTTCTTTTCCTGGTCCCTGCCATGCTATTCCCTCTTTTCTTTTGTCCCCTTCCCAAGTATCCTTCTGCTTCAGTTAACATTCAAAGATAGCTAACAATCTTCCTGATCTCTCTCTCTGAATTTACCTCATGTATAAATTCAATTACATGTGACTAACTTCAGTCTGTACTCCCATTTTATAGATACCCACATGTGACCATGGTATTTTGGGAAGGGGAGAAATGAAACAGGGTGACTTGAAGGATGCTGTTTGTACCTGTAAATCAGACATGCTCCTGGAGGCACGGGGTTCACACGCTCATTTGTGCACCCTTTGCTCTGCAGGGGACAAAGTTCAGCCATCCACCTTTGTCACAAGGATGAAGAACTTCCAGGCTGGGACGCTATGGGTGGCTAGTGGCTGGGGCAAGGTGTCTGAGGGCAAGTCAAATGACAGGGTCTTCTGGTGACAGTTGCAGGAATAAAAGGTAACAGATAAGGGAAAGAAGCCGCTTTCTTTCAGAAACAGAAATGTAAGAGAAGATGACTCCTGCCAGATGGAAAATTCAAGTACCCCTTTGCTCATCAGGTCTCCTCTGCTTGTCAGAGGACCAGCCCCTGTAGGGATGTGCAGATCAGCATTTTCCTGCAGCATGGGACCTTGGAGCGCATTAGGGAAGGTTGCACATTGCAGTGCTGCTGTGCATATCGGAGCGTCTCACAAGCAAAGCCATCCTTACAAGTTTTTACAAAAGTGGCAGTATTTCCTTTGTATGTAAAAACGTTATGCTTTTGTACTCTCTCCTCTAGATATCAGAAAACTGTTCCCTCAAAGGAATTGCACTTGCTTGTGTTTTGGTAGATTTTAAAGGAGGTGGGAATGTCTGTGAATGTTGCTTTTAATTTTTTACAGCCCCGGTGGTTTGGGGCTCATCCCCAGTAGAGAAGACAGAGGAGACTTGCCAGTCGCCCACTCCCCAGCAGCCCTCCCAGGAGAGAGCACGCTGTCTCCCAGCCAGGGCTGGTCTCTCATGTTAGCAGCTCACTGGGGCCTTTCTCCTGGCCCCTGAAAGTCTCCAGCCCTATAGCAGGCTGCTCGGGAGAAGAATGCAATGTCTGTTATCCAACCTGCAGGGGAATGATGTGCTCCAACCCTGTTTTGAGGCACTGGCTAGGGGCAAACCAATGCATCACCTGCCCAGCTGGGTGCCTCTGCTCAGTGATCCCAAACTGCTTCAAAACATCACTGCCCCAGGCCGGCAGCCAGTGTGGGATCCACCAGCTGCTCTTGCTGGGGTGTTGGGGAAGGGTGGATGCCGCTCGCAGGCAACAGGGCTGTTGGCTGTCATTCAGCTGGAGGGGCAAGCTGTCTTGCAGATGCTGGATGTAGTCTGGATGCTCCTGCAGCGGCTGGGGCCCTGGCTCCTGTCCTGCAGGAGATGGAGCTGTCCCTCATGGACAGCCAGACCTGCAGCGTGCTGCTGAGGGGCACGGACCTGCCACGAAGGCAGGGCTCTATGCTCTGTGCTGTCTTTCCCAACAACAGGGGGGATGTGTGCAAGGTAACAGCTCATCAGCCCTGGCTGCTGCTGGGCAGCAGGCTTGTCCTGTCCACCCACAAACCTTCTTCTCTCCTGGGAAGACAGGGAAGCAACAGCACTGAGAGTGCTGTCAGCACTTTGCTGAGCAAGAGCTTTACAAGGAGCTTCAAGATAACAAAGGCAGGAGTAGTCTTTTGTGGGTAGGAGTATGGATGTGGGCAGGAAACTGAAGTGTGATTGCCTAGACCTGCCCTGGGCATTGCTGACAGTGGGACCTCCCTCTTGGCACACAAGTGCCACCATGTCTGCTGAAACTGGAGGGACCCTCAGTGGTGGGACTCCAGGCAAGGGGCAAGGGAGCCTGGCATTGGCAATACTATCAGGAGGTGGAAAGAAGGCAGTTCCCACCTCTCCCTTGATGTCCCCTTACACATGGTCAAGTCTTCCGATACCTTCACTCAGACAGCCCCACTAGGCAATGGTCTGCAATTCAAGGAGTTTGCTTAGTGCCAAACTCTTTTCTGCCAGGCCTAACAGAGTGGGTGCCCTAGGGAAGGCTGTTGACCAGGCTGTCACTAATCTCCTTGGGGTGTACTTGAAGGAATTTTTTTTTTTAACCAAGTAGTAGCTTGCCCTCTGTCATACCTTGTGTGAATGCTTTCAAAGCAGTGCTGCAGCTGATGTTAGTGAAATGACTTTCATTTTGTCATTCTTCATGCAAAAAAAAGGAGTTTGTGTATGGGGAAGGGCAGGGTGCCAAACTGCAAGCTAACAAACAACAGAGCTTAGATTGGTGCATTTTAGCTTAAACAAGCACAGCTGAATGAGCAGGGACGGTGCCAGGCCACCGTGGGGAGAAGCAAGCAAGGTTGTGTTGGCTTCTGTGGTAAAGCTGGTCTGTCGTGCAACACTGTCAAAGGTCAGTGCTGCTGGCACAGGAACAAATGGCACCTTTCCTCCTCAGCACAATGTGGACAGGGTGACTCCAGAGGCTCCCTTGCATGTCGGAGGACCGGCGGCACCTGGACTCTGGCCAGTGTGGTGTCCTGGGGGGTTGGTTGTGCCAGAGGATGGGATACGCTCAAGAGAAGTACCACGGCCCAGGGCTCACCAGACATCTTCTCCCATGTGGCTGCATTTCATAGACTTCATTGCCCAGCACATGACACCAGGTAGGTATGAGTGCTGGAGGTTTTTTCCTCTCCTGTCTGTTCAGCACTGTAGGGACTCAAATTGCCCTGCTATTTCTGCCTCCCTCCACTCCACCTGCAGCAGTTCTGTTTAATTTCCTGGTGCGGCATCAGCAGCAAGGTATATCATCTTTTAATTTGGGATGGCAAAATCAACGGCTTGAACAGATAAGTCGCCCTTCAGAAACCTATTATAATAGCAGGTCTGACCCCCACATCCTCTGAAGGAAAAGCAGAAGGCTACTCAAGCTGCTCTCTTTCTGGCTGAATGCAGCCCTTCCAGCTCAGCAAGATGTCCCCTGAGCACTGCATACCAGCCCTGCTCTAATAAAAGCCTGCTTTGAGTGCTTGCCAGCTCAAGATCTGAACTGCTGTTGTGCTCCTGAAATGGCGTGCAGGATTGATCGGGGGTTTTCTCCTCATCAAATACAACTCTGAATGCATATGGGAAGAGAGGCACTGTATTAAGTGTCACAGTTTTAGTGGCTTATCAGAAGTGCCTTTCATAGCTAAGCACAGGTCTAGCGACTCCCTGCCGGCCACTTGTATTTTTCTGTGCAGATGATTACAGGGCTAATACAAGTTATTAGAGAGATGGTGTTATTTCTGTCATAGCTGTCAAAGTTGAGGTGTTGGTATTAACTAATACCCAACCTATTATGGCTTTGCTAGGCTTCCTTAATGATTATGCTTTCAAAGGGGGACTGTCCATAGCTAAGAAGGTGCCTCTTAATTGGGAACAGGAACTGCAAGAAGCAGAAGCCACGTGGTTAGAAAGCGGGTGCATTACCCTTTGCAAAGCAGAGCTATCGGGACTGACGCAGACCAAATGCCAGTAGTGATGAAGATGAAGAGAAGGCCAACATAAAAGTGGTGTTTCATTAAAAATAAGCTTGGAGTAGCCACGTCAGCTCTTGGCAGGCTGAATGAATGTGAGCCCACTGTGTTGGTAGTTGGTGGGACAAGTCGTGAAAGTTTGGGGATTTTTAATTTTTTGTCATTTCTTGTCAGTCGTTGTCATGAAGAACAGCAAATCTAGCTGGATTTTGAGAAGCCTTTTGTATTTTTCACTGTGAAGCTAAAGAGCTAGAGACAACACCCAAATGGAGCAGGGCAGATGGGACTGAGGGACACGTTCATATTTGTACTGGCATCTAGTGCAGTATGGTGGGCATCTCGGTCTTTTAGCTGTACATAATTCTGTGCCCAATCTGCCTTGTCTCTAAATATAACTGGTTTACTCCTATGGACCCTGGGTAGCAGAATAAATCAAGTGCTTAGCTGGTGCATGTCCAGATGAGTTTCTAATGTGTTAGCAGAGCTGGCAAGTGTTACATGTATTGGAGATACAGCCCAAAGGCTGGCTCTTCCTTGGTTCAAAGTTGGTTATATGGTGTAAGAAGCATGCAGATTACTGAGTAATTGTACTGATGAGATTAAAAGAAGCACGGCCTGTTGTCCCTCTGTAAGGTGTGCTGAATACTGAATTGATAGAGAATAAATATTTCCTTGAATCATTGGCTGCTTCTCCACTCTTAGTACTAATGACGATGTGTTGATAATAATGTTAATCCTTAGTCCATGCAATTAATCTTCTAGAAATATTTGGTTGTTCATGTGGTTGTTTTGGATGAAGTCCCATCTCCTCAATTTCTCTGTATTGCCTCTAAATATTTTATAGGTAATGAAAGCTGAATGGTCTCTCCACTCAGTGTGAGAATAGATCTTCTTGGTGGGATCTAGCCTAATGAACCACCGCAGGATTTGCCTGAATAACTGTATGTTCAGCTCACCCTTACCACCAACTCCTTGTCTCCCTCAGGTAACTCCTGCAGGGATGTCTTCCTAGCCCCTCTGCTACCAGGTCACCATTATATTTGTTTCCGATGGGAGCAATGCTGCCTGTGGCTTCAAGCTCACCTTCATGGACATCCATAAGGACTCTGAAGCAGGTGACCTCACTGATGCTGTAGAAATGCCTTTCCTCTCCTTTCTAACCCCTTAAAATAATTACCCTTAGTGTGCCCGAGTTCCTTAAAAATCAAGTTGTTGATTTGGGTTTATTAAAACTACTCTATAATCCGATCTGTTAAATTGTCTCCTTTTCTGCCTGCGTATGGCAGGGTTGGGCCCTGGGAGTGTCGCGATGTTAGTGGAAGAAGGGAAGATTGATACTGCTAATTACCCTGGCTTGTACCCCATGAGCACGAAGTGCCACTGGCTCATTGAGGCTCCAGCAGAGTATGTCATAAAGGTAATAAAAGGAGAAACTGCACTTAAACCTTTGCACTAAGAACTGTTTAGGGGAGCAATTCAATAAAATCCTGCAAGAAACATCCATGACAAGCAAGTCTGTAAATTGTAAGGTTTTGAGGTCACTGATTATTTGCAGGGCATGTTTTGTCAATTAGACATCACCTCCGAACTCATGTGTGGAGGGGCTGTGACCGTTGTAAGTGCTCGAAGTCTGTAGACACCTATCTCACTTCAAGGTAAAGCTATCTTGAAGTCCAGCACAGATTTGAGGGCAAAGGGAAAATAGAGAGCATGTTGCAAACAATATAATCATCCTTTTCCTCAAGAATCAAAACCCCCCAAGCTACTCCTTAGCCCCATACAAAGGTGTCTGCTTCTCATTGTGCATGGGCTGTCCGATAATAATTCCCACTCATAGTACCAGCATCTCTATTTTTATTGCCTGTTGCTGCTTGTGTGCAGCAAGCATCGCACCGAGCTCATTCCAGTCCATGATGAGCCACATCATTGCTGTTTACATTGTTCAAAGCAGTTCGAAACACCTCTCTTCCCCTGCTGCCTTGGCGAAGGGGTGGATAAATAGTGCTAAACCTAGGGATGCTTGAGGGTATGCGAACCTGTTGCTTAGGTTGAGGGTGTGCAGACCTGTTGCTTGGGTTGCTGCTGCTCTGTGGTGTGAGAACCTGCAGTCTGGATTAAAAACAAAACAAGTGAAAAATCATCCACTTTCCATGCTTGAAGGAAAAGCTCTTGGAAGAGCACTCCATGTGGGACACTGACTGTTCAGAAGTACAGGGCATTGAGTGTTGCAGTAAAGATGGCAGTTGAAATGGCTTAAGGCAAAGCTTAGGCCAGCTTCATCCTCTGCAGACCTGTCTATAGCCCTGCATAGGAGGGAGCAGTCAGGCCAAGATTGCCAACAGACTGTTTTGATGCAAAATGTGACATGCTCACCAAGGGAAGTCATGTCCAAATTCTTCTGAAATCTAGTTTTTCTCCAGTGTGTGGTTAAGAAGGTTAAGCGTTTCAGTCTTGATGATTTCCTCTTGCTCTTCCTCTTTGCAGCTGGAATGTGAAGACTTTGCAGTGGGACTTAGCCCAGGCTGCATTTATGATGCAGTTATATTTACAGTGACCAAGAAAACCAGTTGGGTGAACACTAATTGTTTCAGTTTCAAATTAGAAATCCCTGTGGAAGTAGGCATGTTCTGTCACCAAAATATGCTCTCCCTGATAACATGGTACTCGGTACCACTCGAAGGATGATGTAACGGCTTCTGCAGTAGCCTTGAGGTTTGCCCATCTTCTTGTCCATCATGATATGGCCAAGCGCACCATTGGCACAGGAGATCCCACGTCATGATCCAAGGCCGTGTTTTCTCATGAAGAGCCTGCTGGTGTTGCAGGGCTGGATATAGGACCAAGGACTGTGGCTCGTGTTCTGCTGCAGAGCCAGCAGAGCACACAAGCGTGTGCTGCTGGATCAGGCATCTGCTTTGCACCTCTCTATCAAAGGAGAGAGCAAGAGCAACTTTGCTCTGAGTGTCACTAAAGATGACAAATGTTCAAAGTAAGGCAGAGCCAAAAAGCGGGTGTTGATGGTTGTCTAATTCCACTGAAGTGGATGTGAGTTCTTTATGAATTGAACTAATTCTGTTGGAATTTCATTAATGAAAAATTGTAAACCTGAGGCATTGCTTTCCAACGCTTTCAAAAGGAAATATTTTTTTTTAATTCCTTGCTTTAAATCTGCTTCAGTTTTATCAATATAAAAATCTTTAACTTTAGTGAAATAAATGTTCTTAGCTTCCCTTTTAAAAATATCTATATTTCCATATGTTCCTCCTGCTTGGACCAAATGAAAGCATGTCGTAACACCCCAGCTTTTTTTAAAAAAACAGCTTCCAGGCACCACACTCACTTTAGCAGAGCTTGATATCTATTCTTAAGGTGAAAAGCAATCTGGTGCTCAGAAGTGAAGATATTTTAATCGAATTCTGTCTACCTCTTTACAGGCTTGTATGTGAACCAAAGGACAGAGTGGTGAGAGGCTGGTGCACTTTTCTTTACACCAAATAAACTGGGTAAGAGGCTTGAACTGTCCTGGGTTTGCCATTGACAAGTAATCTTTAGCAAACAGCTTCTATTTTTTTCCCCATCTATTTTGTGGCGGTAGTTTAGTTGTATGTGTTTACCAAATGCTGAATAAGCATTAACGCTACAGTTCCTTTGAAAAGAAATCTGGTTTCCATTGGAAAGGAGTATTTGAGTGGGGGGAAGAATGCTGACAAATTTGGATCTGGAATCTTTCAGGGGAGAACTTTCAGCATCCTGGAGCATTTCACTCCATGCTTTCCAGCACAGCTTTGCCATCAGAAATTCAGATTCTTACAGGAAAGCTCCTCTGGAATAAAGTGCAAGTTTCCTATCCAGCTGCAATTATGGGACTTCCAGATGCTATGCAAACTGAGTGCTCTCAATAGGAAGAAAAGTCTAACAGCTGTTCTCTAGCTCCTCAACTGGTACATGTAGACCATTCAAGAGAGACTTTGCTTGCACCCCTTAACGGTGACAAATACAATTCTCAAGTGTGGGGTTTTTGGTGCAATCAAGGCCATTTGCACTCTGTTGAAGATTACTTGTAATTGCACTCTGAGAAAATTAGGATTACTTCTGTGTACCTGTAGCATAACTGTAGTAGATTAATTCTGGCTGCTATTCCTTACTGACATCGCTGATTAGCATTGCTTTGCAGCCGTCTCTTCCGCAAAAGTTCTTGTTTTAATCAAAGTCACCAAGACTCTAGGGTTTTGGTTATTTTAGAAACCTAGATTAGCTAAAGCCACGAGTGCTCACAGGATGACATTTCTCATCTTAGAAATACAGCTTCTTGTTCATTCCCACGGCTAATCTCTGGATTCTCAACTCCCAAACCAGTGCTGAGTCCAGGGAATACTATGCTGGTACATTTTGAAAGTGATGGGGAGAAGAGTTTCAGAGAGTTCAGAACCCAGCTCGCTTTTGTTCATTCAGCTTAGTAGAGAGATGCTTGCTGTGTCTAACAATGTCCATGTCGTGTGCAGCTATTCTTAGACACCTGAGCTTATTTTTTAGGGTAATCCTGCTGCATTCTGTCAAGGTAACTTTAAAACAGAATAGCTACTTGTGGCAGAGCTCCCTTCCCTGAATAAGAGAGATGATTCAAAGGAGTTTTTTCTCACTGAGAAATGAGATGACTAACTTCTGTTACCTGAAATAAGCAGCCTTGTTAATTCTGTCAGTCTGATATTCCCCTTGAAAATCTCATTATAGAGAAGAGTCTTGATCCTGGAGGCTAGTCTGCTATTGTTGCTTTCTACTTTCATGAATGTGTGCCAGCTGCTGCTTGAGGGGATGAGTAACTTCCCTTCTGGAATGGGGACTTTTTTTGAGGCGACAAGCCAGAGCTATTGACCCAAGTCGGAGCTAACTCTTATTTCCTCTCTTGCAGAGGACGCAGGAAGAGAAGATTCAGGATTAACAACTGCACCGATGTTGCCTCTGAAGGATGTCCCCTTAGGTAAAGAAATTAAATTCTGCTCAGTTGATCTGGTCTGAGGAGCATTCCTCTAACATAGAAGAGGATTATGTAGTCAGGCTGATGCTTTCTGACCTCAAGTTGCCTTTTGTGCACTTCTTGCATGGATGAAAAGTGATAGGCGGGTGGCCCATCTCTCATTCTCCATACATGTGATATGTCCTCTCCGTTCTGGTTGCATGCACTTCCTATTGGGAGCAGGGACACAGAGGAAGGGAGAGACCTGCTTTCAGTGCCAGAGCCTCGTTTGCTCTCTGATGTGCGCACCTCCTTAGGATTCAAGCTTTTATGTGTCTGTTTTTCCTCCCTCCCCACTTCGAGACAGAGCAGACAAATTTGGTCTCTCCTGCATCTTTGCCCTTGGAGCAGTCAGCCTTTGAAGTTGTCTAGGAAAACAATAAACTTGCCTGCCAATGTATGACTGGTTTTCTGGCCCTTTTGCAGACACCTGTGGCCTTTCCCCAGTTACTCCCCTGTGGCTGTTCAAGTGTGTTAGTGGGGCTGAGGAGGCCTGTCCTCATTGTTGGCCATGGCACACTGCCCTGAAGCTCCTTGGAGATTACCAGGGTGATGGGGCTGTCATCAGCCCTACGTGGCTGCTGACAGCTGCCCACTGTGTGCAGCTGTGAGTGTGACCAGCACATCCCTGGGCCACCTCTGCTCCTCCAGGCTGGAGCGCAAACAGGTGGAGAGCTATAAATTATATTCACACCTTCATGTCCTCTGCAAAACCTTCCTTCTGCCTTTCCTCCATGATCACTAATTTTAGAGCTGGCAACAGTTTGGTCTTGCTTGTAGGAGATCCATTAAAGTTAATTAGACTATCTGCTATCAGAGCTGTAGCAAAGCCAGAACTGATGCAACACATTTGCCATGGTGAGAAGCTCTTGCTCAGCAGTCCTGAGAATAAGTGACTAATTAGAGAAGAGACAGAAGGGATGTATCACTGCTCGATAAGGAAGCTGTATGGCTGACTGTAAGTAGCTCCAATATGTTTGCTTTCATTGTACAGATCCAATAAACCCTTGCACTGGACTGTGACAGCAGGAGACCATGATAGAGCCCTGAGAGAGTGAACAGAACAGGTAAAAACCAAGCAATACCATTAAAAATGTTGACTTTGGTGTATTTGCCCCTACAATATTTCTCAAAACAGATCTAGATGCACAGATAAAACAGTGGTGACAGCAAGGCAAAATGACGGATATGTAGTACAGGTTGACGAATGAGAAAGGAAATACAGTAACTCTGGTCTCATTTAGCTAACTTGCAGTTTATAGAAGTATGTTTTATATCTGGTTCTTATTACTAGCAATAAAAAGTCTTAAAATCTAACAGAGATGACTGAGTGTCCTCAGCATCTTACTCTCTTGGTGCTAAGCAATATACTCATCTATAAAAATCTTGCTGACTCTTTCTTCCTAATGGGAAGGAGGAAGAAGTACATGTGGAAAAGAAGCACAAGTGACTGACACTACTATTCTGCAAAACCTTAGTGGCTTATATTTGCACAGTGGAGCAGTCAGCCTGCACTCTAGGCTCAGGAGGTCTACATAATCCATCCCAGCAATCTTCTCAACTGAAAAACTGAGAAGAGGGGATTTGTCTTCAAAGTCCTCACACCTTGCTTGTTTCTCTTCATGGCTTACTTTGAGATTGGTCATTGCTTGTGGGATTTTTGCCCTCTTCCTTTACAAGTATGCTTTCAGGATGCACTTAGAGGGCAGCTTGTTCTTTCTCTGCCCTGGTCACAGGTGAGACAGATGAAAACCATCACGATGCATCCCCACTTCGACATGCTGAGCTATGACTCCAACATTGGCCTGATGCAGCTAGATGTTCCTCTGGAGTACAACGCTGCTGTGAAGCCAGTGTGTCTGTCCAACAGCACAGACGCATTATCCTCCTCTTCCCTCTGCACTGCATCTGGATGGGGGATCATCGAAGAAGGTGGCTCTTCTGATTTCGTATGTTTGCCTATTATGAGTAGAACATACATTTTGATCTCTTATTTTACTCTTCTGCCCAGACCTAACCTTGAATTTATTTCCGAAGCAGATGGGAGCCCAGCTAGGTGGTTGCAGCAGATACAAGTGCCTGTACCTGAGAATGAAATCTGTGAGAGAAATTACTACTTCAGGCACCCTGGAGGGATCACAGCCAGGATGCTTTGCGCTGGCTTTGTTTCTGTGGGAGGCCAGGACTCCGTGTCAGGTGAGGTAAAACTAAAGGTGAGTGCTCTTGAAGGTGTCTGCACGTGGATGTTGGTAGATAATGTAGGGGAAGGAACTGGGGAGGACAGAGGGGAGAACAGCATAGAGCAAGTGACAGTCAAAAGCTTCAACAATTTGCTGTCCCTGGAGTGGTCAGTACTTACAAGAGCAATAAATGCAGTCAATCCATATGGGAGATACAGGCAATGTGCAGTGTTGCTTGGAAGTGGGACCAGAGAGTTAGTAATCTTTCTCTGGATTGTAATTTTCATGAGACTTGTGGAAGAGAGGATGTTCTTCTCGAGTCCCATCTCTTATCCTAGTGAAACAGTTCCCATTGTAGCTTGCTTTAAACTCTTCTTCATGGCACTCTTGTCAAGATAAACTATGATGACTTCTATTGGTTTTATAAAACTCTTGTATTCAGAGGACTGTTCAAGAACTAACCTCCCTGAAATCATGAGGCAAGCAGGTAAGAACAGCTGAGTAAATAAAAGGCAAAGTAATTCTGACTGAGGCACTGTCAAGCTAAACTGCAGGTTCTGCTCAATACCGCAATCTTATGGCAGACTAATAAATTATGTGTAACGCTAAGGAGCACTATTCAGTCATATTTTGTCTGGAGCCTGTGCTCATTGTTCACTCCACGCTGATAAGCAAGCCTTTAAATCAGCCTCTTCATTCCAGGCTAGGGCTGAGTTGCACCAGCGGCTGCACGCCCTGTTCCCGCAGGAGCCTTTGTCTTGGGCAAATCTGATCTGCAGCAGCTCTCTTCTTAGCTGCAGCAGCGCAGAGGCCAAATGAGATAACTGGGAGTCCTCTCTCTTGGTTCCTAGGGTGGTTTTGGTGGTCCCTTGGTTTGCAGCAAGGAAAATGGACTGTTTACTCTTTATGGCATTGTCAGCTGGACTGTTGACTGTGCCAGCCCAAAGAAACCAGGGGTCAATTCAAGGGTAAGGATTTTCCTGGACTGGATAAGACTGCTGATGAAAGGTGAGTTTTCTTTGTCTAAGAGATGAGTCCTGAATATAACCCCTTTGTATAAAATTCCCCAAGTGCATTGAGGTTTTGTCAGGTAGACTTTTTGAGGCAATTGAAGAGGAAGAAAAAAACAACAGGTGATTTCCTGCCTTCCTCTTCCTCTTGCCTTCCTCCTAAACAAAGCTTACTGGAAATTAGAATGGCAGTTTCGGAAGCAGAAGACTTGTATTTAGCACTTCTGATTCGCAAATTGAATATAATCTCTGGACAGATACTTTTCTCAGTAAAAAGAGGCTGCTTGTGAAAATGCCTACCAGCCCCGTGTGATGGGCAGAATAGTTTGGGACAACACTGTAAACCCTGTGTATCTGGATATAATTAGCACCATATTCAGAAGCCTGCAGGATAAATTTTTCCAGAGAAAGAGTAGCATATACTAGTGAATAAGGACTGACTACCTGAACGTGGTAGGTATGTTACAAAAGAAGAGCAGCCTGTTCTTAAACTAAGGGCTCTCTCATGCAGAGAAATGAGAGGAGCAAACCCGTTTGAAGTGTTCCACCTGAACCCAGCATTGTCATACTGCTTCCTCGCACCAGCTCTATCTTCTTTGCCACAAGTTTCTTTCCTGCT